TGTGTTGATGTTAGAATGAAAAAATATATATATATATATATATATTCTTTGGAGTTAATTATTACCTCGTATTATCGTGCATATACAACATAAAATTATTAGAAGTACAGAGAATGTGAAAATCTGAATGTGTTGATGTTAGAATGAAAATATTATATATATATATATATATAATATTTTAAATCAATAAAATTGTTATAAAATTATTATTAATAAAAATATATATTAGATATTTGGTGATAAATTATGTAAAATATTTTACTTTTTGATTTGTTTGGTAATAATATTATTTAAAGTGCTTGTATTACTAATTTTACAATAATGTCCTTGAGTGTTGCTGACTTTATAAATGTAGCTCAGTTTCATTTAAAAGCTCAACTTAACTAAATTTGTTAAGTAGTACAAGTATATTTAATGGTCACTAAATACATCTAAATTTACTTTTAAAAAATAAGAACTCATTTAAGCGATTGATAAGCAATTCCAAAGTGCTACACACGCAAAAAAAAAAAAAAAAAGATAATAATAAAATAAAATTTTATTAGGTCATTTGGATGAGATTATGTAATTTGTGTCACATAAGTCATAAGCAGGGATGGACCACGAAATTTTAAGTTTGGGTCCAAATTTGAATTATATCTAAAGTTTAATTTTTTTAAAATAAATTATATTATAATTTTGTTTAAATATTAGTCATAATACATATGCCTTGAGAAATTCAAAAATGAGCAAAACATAACTTAATAAAAGCGGAAAACTAATATGAGAAAGAAATGATATACAATAAAATAAAATAAAATAAAACAATCAATTTTTTTTATCATTAATTGTTTCTTGAAAATCTAATTTTTAGAAGAAAAAAAAAAATTGGATACTTTTACTTAGGAAAGATATACCCTAAAAAAAAAAAAAAAAAAAAAAAAAAAGGATCTTTAACGAGCCCAAACCTCTCAAATTTAGATTAAACAAGATTATTATTTTAGTATGTTATACAAATAATTATAAATTTTATCATTTACCAAGTGACAATTAAAAGTAGAGTAATGATACTCACACTGAACACTTGTAGTGAATTGTCTAACTAAATACTTTTTTAATTGATTATTTATACCAAATACAATTAAGTGGAGTGCTCTATTTTCTTATTTGTTACATAATTGACCAATTAAAATAGTAGGTCTAGAAATTCATTATAATTAATCGGTGCAAGAATCATTTTCCTTAAAAGTATTAACATATATGATATTATTGTTGGTATTGACAATCTCATAATACTTTAGTTTATCTTCCTTCCCAATATTCCTAGAACTCACCAATAAAAATTGTTATATAATTGTAGATAATTTTATTATAAACACCATGTTATACATAAATATTTTGACAAAAAAAATACTTCATGCATTTTTATTAAACATGAAAGAATATTAGTGGTCTTTCTCCTTTTTTTTTTCTCTCTTGAATTAATATTATAGATATTATACATGTGTATATGTAAATAAAAATAATAATGTGTTGCGATAATGAATATAATAATACTGAACTTAATTTTTTGTTTCACAATATTTAAGCTTTTAAAAATATATTTTAAAGGGTTCAAGTTGAAATTTTCTTAAATATTAAAAAAATACAAACTAAATCTATTTTCAAACTCCTGATTTTAAAGCCAATTTTCAAACTCTGTATTTTAGATTAATATATAAGTATTTTTTTTTAAAAAAAAGAATTTATCTCAAAATAAAATTAGTGGGGGATGGGCCCACCCCCGCTCATAAATGGTCTTGTGTTTTTCTCTCTCTACTTTTAACCTAGATGTCCAAAGTCCAATGTCGGTCAATGTCAAGATTTCCTGTGTCAGCAGTCCCCTTGTGATTGATTCTCTTACAGCGATGCCCAATTAGAGTTGCAACAATGGTATACTCCTGTTAAAACTTGAAATTTTAAGGAGTTTCCAAATCCATTGTCCCTAAATTACCAATTTGATTCCTATTTTACTTTGGATTTTATTACCACTAACCATACTATAAAATACTATTGAAGCAAGCAATTTTGGCGCAAAACAAGAGGCAGAACATTGAAATCCTTCTATACCCCATCTTCACTCTCATTGATTATTCTACCTCTGCAAGATGGTAAACAATACACCTTGGTTGTTGCCCTTCTTAGGAAGCCCCTTCTACCAGAACTGTAAGGAACACAACAAATACTTGACCCACTTTTGCTTCGATTGTATGTACCAAACTATGTGCAAAGCTTGTTCGAATGGACACAAAGATCATCAACTTCTCGAAGTAAGTCATCTTCATATTGCATTTTTCTTTTTATTTATTATTATTTTTATTATTTTGTTAAGTAAATCACACACATATATATATAAACCCATTTTTTTTTTTTTTATAATTGAACATTCAACCCTAAGATTATGTTTTTTTTCTTTTTTTTTTTTTTGTAGGTTCGCAGAGCATCTCGCGAGGCTTGTATTGAAACTACTAAAATTGAAAAGCTGTTAGATATTTCTAATATCCACCGATTCACAGTAAACAATGGTCCAATTTTGTTTCTCAACCCAAGAAAAGAAAGAGGGCAACAAAAAAGGCCTGGTAACATGTGTATGACATGTGGTTATCACTTTAATTCAACATCAAGGTTTTGTTCAATCTTATGCAAAGTAAGATTCCTTCTTGCCTAGTCATTTTTAGAATATACTTGAAAGGGTTTCAATGTATTAATTGATACTATACTTTCGTTGCAGGTTAAAGGTGCCGTGAATAATCAAGATCCTAACTCATTCAGACAAAAACGTAGAAAAGTTATAAACCAAAATCCTAACTCATTCAGAAAATATCTCAGAAAAGGCGTAGACTGCATACCCCATAGAGCTGCTTTATTTTGATTTATAATAAGTTTATATGGATTTAGTTTATGTTTAGCATGTACAAGCAAACAAATTTTTTTTTTTGGGTTTTCCTTTGGTTTGACCAAACACTCCAAATCTTGATTTATGGATGTTTATTTGATAAGTAATGATAGTTTGTCCGATTATTTTGACCGAATAGACAAATTTCGTTTACCATGGCAAAAACCTTCACCCACTCTCTCTCTCTCCAAGATTGTATTCCTCTCCCATAAAAACAGCTCCTTAAAATCTAGGGGTTTTATTCGTATCAATGACCCACAATGGAAACAATCACAGAAGAGTATGGATCTCCAATCTCGAATTTGATTTACTCCCGAGAATGAAATTAACAAATTAAACCTCTTCCAATCTATTTTAATCTTTGCCACGCACCGTTGATTGATCTTTTACGGTGGCATTGATGCAGTTGACGGCGAAAAGCATCCGTGGATGGCGGCACTCTGCCGCCTTGGCTTCCGGCTTTAGTTGATTTTTATTTAGTTCTTCCCCAATTTCCTCTTTCTTCCTCTTCGTTTCTCTCGCTTTTTCAATGTTATCTCCTCCTCTTCACTGAAGTGTAGCAGAGTAGGTAATTATCTACAGCTTCACTATCTTTTCCAAATACAATGAAAGAAAAGCAATTTCCTTTCTTTTTCTCTTATCAAAACAAGATGAAAAGAAGTTAATACTATTTTCCTTCTACTTATTTATAATAGAAACCAATCGTGGGAATGATCATGAGAAACATTTTGACGGCGAATGGGGGATTGATCAATGGATGATAAACTCCATCATTTGGCCCCAAACAGATAAAACCTTTAGTTTCAACCAAACCTTATTAATTTAATTTATTAAACCTTATTATTAGTTTCAACCAAACCAAACGAAAATTGTTCAATTAATGGAAGGCTAATTTAATAAGGATTAAGTACTGCGATGAGAATCATATAGACGAAAATTCACATATGACAGCCCACAAATTGTAGACTTCTACTAATTTCCTCCATCTCTGTGGCAAGTGGCAACATGTGTGAAGAAAAGTCTCGAAAAAAAAAGAGAGCATATTTTTCATCTCAAATCTGGAAGTTCTCTTTCTGGTCACACAGAACAGAAAAATAAAAATCATCAATGTAGGGAATTTTGGAGTTTGATGATTTGCCTCCATGTTCTATGCACACTTTTCTATTCACTGTTCTACAAGAATTAATGGCCAATTCTGCAACAATCCTTTTAGAGAGGGTTGCTGTTTTGCAAGAGAGACGAGCTAGAATTGAATAGAGAGAAAAAGATGATGAAATTGATCAAAAGAGGAGGATATAAATGAACCCTCCAGAGAAGGAATTTTAATGTTTTTTTTTTTCCTTTGATTTTGTGAATGGAAGAGAGAGCCCGAATTTCAGAGAGAGGAGAAGAAAAAATCGATGAACAAAGGAGATATAAATGAGAGAGAAGAGAGGCAGAAACGAAGAGGGAGAGAGAAGAATTCGAAGATAGAAGTATTGAATAATGTGGGAATGACGTGGCTTTGCTGCGTAGGAGTCGGACTACTATTTCGCCAAAATGTTCGGAGAGAGTCTCGTTACCTCTTGGGGGGCGCAAATCCTCTGTCGTGAGAATTCTATGCGATCTCTTGTAGTGACTTTTAAGTGACCTATATTTTTTCAAATCATTTTTCATTTTATAGCTCTTGAGGCAGCATTTGAGTGTACCAATTACAAAAAATTAAAAACTTTCATCACCACCATTTATAAGTATTTTTATCTTCAAAATAAGGTATGCACATAATACAGATGAAGTAATTACATACAAACATAACTTAATTTAATATACTGTGTTTGACAACTACATTACTATTTATAAGTATATTTCACTACCATTTATAAATATTTTTACCCTCAAATTAAGATATGTACATAAATGATGATGTTACTTTTAAACTTCTGTGATGTTATTTTTAAGAATATGTGATGTTGCTTATAAATAGTAATAAAATATTACTTATAAATGTAATGTAATTGCCTAATAGAGTCTCAATTGTCAAATGATGATGAATAACGTGGCCAAACATAAACCACACGCGAGCTTACTGCATGGGACAGGGAATCCACGGCCGAGGATTTGCGCCCCTTTGTGTTATTTGATTTACTAGTTTATCGCAGTGTGTTTGACCAAAAACCCGAACCCAAAACATGTGTGACTTGTTACTAATTGACATCGGAACATGTTGGGTTTGGTGGTTGGTGTCCGGCCAAATGAAAAACGAACATGTTGGGTTCTCTTAGATGTTTGACAGTTGGTTCCCGCCATAAACAGACCCTCCTGTCCTTCATTTCTCTACACACCTCCACCTCCACCTCCACCTCCACTACCACCAGCTTTAGTCCCAAATTCAAGTCCCCTATTCACGAATCAATCCATCTCCTCCTAGAAAAATGCACACACATGAGAGAACTAAAGCAACTTCATGCCCAAATCATCCTCCAAGGACTCACCCAACAAACCCTCACGCTTGGCAAACTCGTTTCTTTCTGTGCTGTTGCCGAGTCCGGTGATCTTCAATACGCACAGGTTGTGTTTGACGAAATACCCGAACCCAATAGGTACATGTATAACAGTTTGATAAGGGGCTACTCAAATAGTGATGACCCATTAAAGGCTATTCGCCTTTACCATCAAATGATTAGTTCAGGCCTTTCACCGAATGAATTTACATTCCCATTTGTTCTCAAGGTATGTGCATTCAAATCGGCGTATTTGGATGCGGTGCTTGTTCATGGACATGCCATTAAACTGGGATTTGTGTCCCAAGTTTGTGTCCAAAATGCGCTCATTAATGTTTTTGTTGTTTGTGGGTTGATTCATTGTGCTCGGAAAGTGTTTGCTGATATTGGTGATAGGACTTTGGTTTCTTGGAATTCGATGATTGGTGGGTATTCTAAAATGGGCTGTTGCAAGGAAGCATTTTTACTCTTTCGGGAGATGAGAGAACTAGGTGTGGTGCCTGATGAGTTTACCTTTGTTAATCTCCTTTCTGTTTGTTCACAAACTTGTGATTTGGAATCAGGAAGATATGTGCATTCATATATAGAGGTCACAGGGTCTAAAACTGATATATATGTCCAGAATGCTCTTGTCGATATGTATGCAAAGTGTGGTCATCTGCATACAGCCCAAGCATTTTTTGACCGAATGCTTGATAAAAACGTGGTCTCATGGACATCCATGGTTAGTGCATATGCTAAACATGGGCTTATTGATTTTGCTCAGAAATTTTTTGAACAAATGCCTGTGAAAAATGTGGTTTCTTGGAATTCTATGATTTCGTGTTATGTCCAAGAAGGTCGCTGCAGGGAAGCTTTGGATCTTTTTGGCGAAATGTGTAATTCAAGAGTGGTTCCTGATGAAACTACTCTAGTTAGTGTTCTTTCATCCTGTTCTCAACTTGGCGATTTGGTTATGGGGAAGAGAACTCACAATTACATATGCAGTAACAATATAACACCTAGCATTACTTTAAGTAATGCCCTTGTAGACATGTATGCAAAATGTGGTCCTGTACAGATTGCGTTGGATATCTTTCTTGAGATGCCGGAGAAGAATGTGGTGTCATGGAATGTGATGATTAGGGCGCTTGCACTACATGGGTGTGGATTTAAAGCGATCCAACTCTTTGAAAAGATGCAAGGTAGTGGGATATGGCCTGATGAGATCACCTTCATGGGGATGCTTTGTGCTTGTAGTCACAGTGGTCTTGTGGACATTGGGCGATATTACTTCGATAGAATGGGTCTTATTTACGGAATACCTTATGAAATTGAGCACTATGCTTGCATGGTTGATCTTCTTGGGCGTGGTGGGCACTTGGAAGAAGCGATTAAGTTGATAGGAGGAATGCCAATGAAGCCCGATGTTGTAGTTTGGGGTGCTTTGTTGGGTGCCTGTAGGACTCATGGCAATTTCATGGTTGGGAAGCAAATTTTGAAACAGCTACTAGAGTTAGAGCCCCATAGTGGAGGACTTTATGTCCTCCTCTCAAACATATATTGTGAAGCTCGAAGATGGGATGATGTGAAGAAGATAAGAAAACTAATGAAGGACCACAGGATCAAAAAAGGCAATGCAATCAGCTCTATTGAAATTGATGGCTCATTTCATGAATTCATGGTTGACGACAAGAGACGTGATGCTACAAGTGGTATCTACAGTATGCTTGATCAGTTAACAGACCATTTAAAGTCTGAAGGGTATTTATGCAAACTTTCAAGTGCGTTTTTGGATGCAGAAGAAATGTAGTGCTGTGCTAGGAATGGCACTGCATTTGAAGCGGTGGGGTGTAGCAATGCATTCCTTGAAACGCATGTATGCAGAATGCAGTTTTACCACTGCAATACCTTGGATATCTTTCTGGAATGCCAGCTGAGAATGTGACATCGTAGAATGTGATGATTGGGTCCCTTGCATACCGTGAGTCGATTTTAGTTGATCTTTGACTTGCAAAGAAGCAAGCCAGAGGGATCTGATCTGACAAAATTACCTTCAAGTAATGGCAATGTAGAGACGGCGAAGCACATTATAAGACAGCTATTGCAGTTGCTAGAGATGGTGGAGGCCTTTGTGTGTTTATCCGAAATGTATATTGTGAAGCTGAAAGATGTGATGAAGATGACAAGATATGAAGAACTGGAGGAAGCTAATGAAGGACCATGCAATCATAAAGTTCGAACGGTTAGCTTGATTCAAATTGATGCTTCTAGCAGCATTAATCCCTTGCTTGATCAATTAATGGATTATATATACTCTGTAGGTTGTGGACTTCCCGAATGCTTAGGAATCTTTTGTTGTATCATCAAATTTTGGAAATCTGACTATATTCAATAATATTGTACGTTCTTAGCAAGTATAAAGCTGCAATTGTTAGACGCTGCAATTGTTAGGAACAGAATAACTGTGTGCGCGAGCTTATGATCTCTTTTGACATAATAGGTTTCTTTATAAGGATTGGTTGATGGAATTGGTAAAATCTCCTGTGGGGAATTAATCTCACTATGTGACCAAGAACCATTATTATACCTAGTGTGTGTGAGAGAGAGAGCAATACTCATCAACTGATGAACCAAATATGTTATAGAGTTATGTAGCTGAGCATTAAGAAGCCAAAAAGTTCGGAAAATTAAAATTCTCTTTGTTGTTTCCCAGCCCTGTTATCCAAGTCTTTACAAGTAATTAAATGCATTTTTGTGGGAAGTAGTGATGCTGTTTTAACTTTTATTAACAGTTCCATTTGTGAAATATGGTGGTTGACTTCCTTCTTCATTTTGACACAAAACAAAGTCATTATACATTGAAAATATGACAGCTCTTCTTACTCAATTTTATTATTGCAATTTTATGATGTCTGTATTCTATATTGTTCAATTTGTCTTTATTGTAGTTCTTTGGGCGAAAATTAATTGGAAAAATTTTCTTTTACCGGCTCTGTCCCTTATCAAAATAATAATAAAAATAAATAAATAATGTAATAGCTAGCTTGAATTGTTTAAAGGACAAAAGATATTAAATGATATTCATTAATGTACCTTAGTTTAAGAGAACTATCATGAATTAATTTTTGTAGTACGGTTGAAAAAAAAAAATTTTTTTTTATGTCCTAGATTCAGGATGAATTTTTTTTTTTATGTCCTAAATCCAGGATGATTATCACATATATTACTTGGAGAGGGTACTTAAATTAGAATTAGGATTCCAAGAATGATACTGGTATTCGAATAGATGATGTCAAGGGATTGTTGGATATTTCTGATATCCATCGTTACAGTATAAACTATGATTGGATTATATATATCAATCCAAGTGAGCAAAAAAAGCATGGAAAGTTTGAAAACATCAATGTTACCAAGTGTGAGATATGCGGTTGGCGTATGACCGATCCATCATCAAAGTTCTGTTCAATTGCCTGCAAAGTAAGAATTTACATCTCAACATAATAATACATCTTTCGATTAAGAGGATGCCGTCTGAATTATATATTTATACATTCACATCATCCACATTTAGCATCCTTAAAATTTGGAGGATGTATCATTCTTCATATTATATATTTATGGATTTTTTGTCCAATTAACTTTTATTGAAGTTTTGGTTATTATATATGCAGGTTGGTTATTCTCAACACGTAGAAGAAAGCAATAAAATGCCACAGACAAGACAGACCCTTTGCTCCTTAAGAAGAAGACCTAGAAAAGGCATATCCATAAGGTCTCCACTGTATTAAATGATGTAAAAACAATTATTTATTCTTAAAGATTTGATTTGGTTTCGAAGATCTTTTGTTTTGCTTATTTTTGACATGGGTTGCCACTGTAATTCTGTTTGGTGTCCTCAACTTGGTGGTCTCAATTCTCACAAAAAACTATTTTAATGACAATCTCACCAGCGTCCAACTTAGAATCACGTGCACGGTCATAAAAGCACATCACATGTATACATTCACTTACCCAACCAAACCAAGTCAACAGACGATGTCCTTTTTTTCTTATTTTTCATAGACAAAGTTGGCATGGTCACGTGGTGCTCTAATCCTAGGGACCTTCGCACTCTTCATCAGATCAGGATAAACGGTTGTAATTGTTCACACGTCTGAAAAGATTACACGTGTAAATGTCTGAGCGATAACAAGTGTAGGAACCAACCTAACAATGGCTATGATAAATAAGACTCTCGTATATGCAACCATTTGAACGCTATTAGCACCTACCACACAATGGCCAAAGTGTTACCGACATTATTGACTCTAGTCATATGCCACATCTCAGCTCAAAATGCAGCAGAGCCGGCAGACAACACGCCTCCGGCGGCGGTGCCGCCTAATGCCACCCAAGAGTTCCTAGAAGCACACAATCAAGCCAGAGCAGCAGTGGGTGTTGTTCCTCTAAAGTGGAGCCAAAAGCTAGCCAATGCCACCAGCCTTCTTGTTAGGTACCAACGAGACAAAAAGAGTTGCCAATTTGCAGACCTTAGCACTAGCAAGTATGGCGGCAACCAGTTAATAGCCAGCGGACAGCCGGTGGCACCGCGTGAGGTCGTTGACTTCTGGGTAGCTGAGAAAAAGTACTATGACTATGCTAACAACTCGTGCGCGCCAGAGCAACAGTGCGGCGTCTACACGCAGGTGGTGTGGAGTAAGTCCCTCGAATTGGGTTGTGCGCAAGCTAAGTGTGTCAAGGACAGTGCTAGTTTGACCGTTTGTTTCTACGAACCTCCTGGAAATATCATAGGAGAGAAACCCTATTAGAGTTATGTTCTGTGTATGCTGGGTGGATCTAATGGTGAGTGCACTTCATTATGGTTTTTGTGACTTTGGTTGCTAGCATTTAGTGTGTTTGTGCGTTTTTAGCATCGATTTGGTTTGTTTGGAATCCAATGAGAAGAAGTTCCACAATGCACATTATCTGTATATGCTGTGTATCTGTGTGTTTGTGTGTATATATATATATAGTCATACGCAAGTCAGTGATCATTGCATCTGGATTAATTGATTGAACACGAGCATATAGAGGCCATATGAGAGGTTAAAGGTCCAAGTCTCCTCCATCAGATGAGTGTCTTTAACTACCCAAAAAAAAAAACAGACATTTGAGTGCAACTTAATAACTCTATCAACACATTACATAATAATCACAATGCATGCCAGAGTACAGTGGAGATTGCATTACAAAAAAACACAAAGCGCTGGGCATGCGAAACTATTCTCCCATTTCTAACTCCATACTCTATTTCATTTGTACAAAAGAAAACCTAAATGGGGAAAAAAAAATTTCAAAAAATTAAACAAGATGTTGAGTACTAGGATTTGAACTGTGGTAGCAAAAGATGTTGAGTAGTAGGAATTAACATGTGGTAGCAATCACCTCACAAGCTCTTTTGATATGAGATACCGAAAAGCAAAATTATGAGGAACCCATTCAATGCTCTTGCGGGACTTTCCTAGCTGAGATTTCTTAATTTTCTTCCTCAAAGATTCGGGCAAAGCCTGTTGAATCATCTCCACTACACCAGCCGGACACAAACCAGAATCCTTGGAAAAGGAATCCACAATTTTCGGTAGAAGGATTTTGTGATCCTTTCGTATGCCAAAGGTGGCTCGAAGGTACTCTTCTTTTGCAGCTTCCAGCTCTTGAAATACTCTCTTTGGTGTGTAAACGCGAATCTGAAAATGCACAAGTCACAACTTCCGTTTGATCACGCAGAGAGTATCTAGGAAAATAGACCTATTTACATCATGCATTTACTTTGTTCATTTGCGTCATAATTCATTTCATTATTTTTATTTGTGTTTTTCATCTTTTACCTCTACCTTTCATACAATTGGTCCAGGAGGACAAAAAATTTAAACAAGATAAAAAAAAAAAAAAAACCGATTACCACAGCTCCTAGTTAATTCACCTACTCTAGAAAAATCCCAAGGCCAATCGAAGATGAGGCAAACCAAGAGTTATATTTGTTTTTTTCCAGCTACATTAGAGGAAAACATTTCTTCTCTATTAAAGACTTAAAAGTAACAAATTTACTTGTGTGTTTTGAACAGAACAGCAGCTACCTTCCAATTCTCGATGCCTAGACCCTATGCAAGATGGACTCGGATAAGTGTGTCAGGTGAGGCTATGTGTCTAAGCATTGGCGTAGATGCGGGCCTGCGGCCAAATGTGCGTACAATTTCTTAGTTCCCTGATTATAGAAGACATCTAGTTTGTTTGGTGAATCATCACTTTTGTTGAATTCAAGTACTATCAAAGCGAACAACACTCTGAATTTTTTGTCACATATTAATGAAATGCGAATTGTGGGAAAAAATATTAAAAAAATAGATAGTGAATAAAGATGTACCGCAGGATCAGAATGGCTTCCGGAACATAGTGCGAAGTGTAAAAGGGGTTCTGAGTGCTCAATTGCATATGCCTGCCGTTCATCTCCGGTCTTAAATTTTGTTTTTGACGAAAGTAACAAGCGAAGCCACTGCATGCGCAAGTAAATTCAATCAGGCATGCAACAAATATAATTAATTGAACCTACCAGAGTAGATTTTAAAAAACTGTTAGAGAACTACGTGATTGGTTATATGACAGTTATCATTATTTTTAATTTTATACAACCAATCACTTAGTATGGCAATAATAATTACAAATGATTCAGATAATATCATTTTTTCTTTTTGTAGGGTGTGTGGTGGGAACTATAAAAATAAAAAATAAAAATGCATACAAATCATGTAGTCCTGGATATATATCTCTATCAAATACAATCAAGTTAATCTGGCAGATATTTAAAAGAAAACCATTGTAAGAGATCTACCTGTCCAGGACGAGACATGCGGCATCCAAGGATAGAACTCTGTATTGTGTCTGCACTTATTATGTGACCCCCGACATTATAGGCAGCCTGCATGTGTTGAATAAGTGTAAGAAAATAAAAATCAAACTCAAAACTTCCCTTACAGATAAACCAACAAGACTCTTACTTTCAGCAGTAGGAAGACTCTCTTTATATTGTTGTGTGGAATCCCATAAGCCAAAAATGCCTGTTTAGAAACAAGAAGTTAAGAACTGATTATTATCTGCTCATAGCAAAAAAATACAGTAACATAAAAAGGAGCTAGCGCTGTAAAGTCAGTATTTGCATTGATGAGAATTCATTACATGCATCACCAGAGCATTGTGTATGTTGATCCAGAATGCTAGCTTCTCCTCGTGTTTCATCATTCTGGGATCTACTTCTTCTAATCGACTGATGAGTGCCCTATAATATATTAATTAATGAGTATAATAAAACTGCAGGAACCCATTTATACTAAAATAAGTTTACCATGCCACAGGATACCTAAATCATGAAATTCTTGCAACAATGACATGTTATATAGACTCACCTAAAATTTTGTAACTTGTGTTCAACATCACCCAATTTCTGACTATCTCTGTATAAACATTGGACTTCAACCATTGTGCTGTAAGGTCCACTGAAGTCCTTTAGTCCTTCCACATGAAAAGGGTTATCTAACCGTACATCAAAAGACGAATCTTTCCTAAACCCTGGACTCCACACATCACAATGCTCTTTCGGAGAAAATGCACTCATCGATGACAAAGATGAACTGGGAGATGACAGGTCATGATTTGTCAAAGGTGGGTCTGCAAGCTTGCAATATATAGCTGACATGCACTTGATCATATCCTCAGAAATCTTGTTAGGTGTCTCTGGAACATGGTCAGAAATCCGGGTGCCAAGATGCTCTGCTAGACTGATTACATTTGAAGCGGCATTCTGAGCATACTGTAAAGAAGCCATTAAAAGTCATAACCAGCTGAGGTTTATCCAAATTTTATTTATTTATTTTTAATATGCATCATTTAAAGGGATTAATCTCCTCTGCAACTAATGTTCCTATGATCATTTGAAATTACAGTGGAACACCAATAACAAAACTCCACATAAAATGGCGTCATCACTTTATCAGAGAAATATAAACAACTAAACAGACAAAACAACTGAATTACAAGCAATATCCCATTATTCATGATGTGGCAACCATTGATTTAGCAATGGAAATTGTAGGGGAGTCAAATCCCAGTAAATGACAGTTATGAGTTTAAATGATGAAACTTAAAGATACCTCCATCATGGACAAAGGTTGGGAATAACAGGCACGAACAGCTTTTCCCACGGGCTCTGTAGGAGAACTTCGAGTTGATAGAGCTGAACGTTGTGACAGCGATGAGTGACAGCGGTGAACACCAGAATCTAACAGCTTCTCTTCTCCTATATTAGTTGACCCATTCCATGGATTGGCAATAATTTGATAGCTGGCTTGAACAGTTGAATTTTCCCTCTTTGATGTAATATCAGATGTGGAAACTTTTAGATACCTTCCTCTTGGTGTTGTCAAAGGTGATTTTGGTCTTCCATCCTTTGTAGATGGAGGCGAGGAAGAAAGTTGTTGATCAAATGCTTTCCGGTATAGCGAGAGAAGATATTGCTCCAAATGATTAACTTCCAATTCTAGTACCGCAATTTCTTTAATCAGTTCTGTGGCTGGCTAGAATCAAGAAAAGATTTGTTTTAATGCAACCATGAAGAAATAGTGGCAATAAGGCAGACAAGAACAAAATAACTCAAACACCAGAGTCTAAGATTTATTAAGCCTCTTGTGTAAACATTGATGGCGTGAAACAAAAATAAGTAGTGAAACATGTTAATCATGGGAAAAACACAAATACTCCAACAGTTCATTAAATTTTGTGATAGTTTTGCAACTCTTAAGAATTTTTTTCTTAAAGTACAATATATAGGAAAGGAATTGATATAAATAATAATGTAGGGGCTATTAAAGTACTTCATAAACATATAAAAGCAAAAAGATAATCACGACAAAGAGATAAACTCTCATATGTTCCCATAAATGAAACAAGAAGAAACTACCTTAGGCACTGAGACTTCATTTGTGATATCATGTGAGGAAGTTCTATAACCCAGTGCTTTTTCTAAAGCACAACGGACAACAACTTGGTCCTGTAATCTTTTTTCAAGCTGTAGAATCTGCATGCAAGGAACAGAACAGTTTTAATTATATAACCAAAAAGCCGGTACCCAATTACAAGACCCAACATACTCCAATCATGAGCAAGAGAATGGATGGGTCTGAAGCCTTCTGAATCTTCTAGAACCATGAGTTTGGAGAACTAGATGTTTAATTTTCTACTTTTCCAAATGACCTACTTCAGTCATGGTTGAGAAAATGGACAGGTATGAGCCTTCTGAATCTTCTTAAGCTATGAGTCTGGGGATCTAGATGTTTAGTGTCTACTTATGCCGATGACCTACCCTAATCATGGGTTAGAAAATGGATAGGTTTGGGCCTTCTGAATCTTCTAAGATCATGGTTCTGGAGATCTAGATGTTTAGTTATGTACTTTTGCTTCAAAGATTTAGAATTTTAGTGAACCTCCAAGGACATCACAATCTGCACAATTTATACCCTACCTCTTGCCTCAAAGAATTTCGTACTTCAGCATTGGGCGATTGTCCCTTTGTGGTCTTGGCACAGTCCTTCAAGTGCCCCATATCCTGATAAAAAATCACTCCAATTATTAAAAACTATAGGAAAATCATAAAAATGATCCACTGGAAGGTTAGTCATTAGTTTGTCTTTTAGAGTTCAGTATGAAATCCTTTACAATGATAGCTAGTCTGATCGCAACACATGGGATAGTCAAGAAGGGGAACCCAAAAAAAAACACATTATATCAAATTATCAATATTCCAGAAAAAATTGTGCTCAATGGTTCAAAAAGAATAAACATAGAAGTAGTCAAACAAGTAATAAGATAATCAGGTCATGATGTCGCAAGGTCTCAGCTTCTTCTTTTTCGTGTTTCTTTTCTTTGCAAAAATTGTAAGTTCCATTCTGGTATATGTTACTAAGAGCAAAGGGGCAGCAAAGAGAAACCCTTACCAATTTCATACTGTGACAAGCTTCGACGGAATGATCCAAGTTATCTTCCCTGAGTCCTCTTTTATTAGGCAAGATGTCACTGAAACAACATCATGAAAGAGTCAACATAAATTGACTGAAGAACAAAGCAATTGAAGGTTGCCATTGTACCTTTGGCCACTTCAAAGCACAACATCAAGTAACAAAATTATTTCTGCACATCAGTTTATTAGAAAGAAGAACAATTCCCAACTCAAGTGAGGTCCTTATGGTGGGTGATCATTTCTACATAATCTATTTCAAAACGATTTCCCGTGATAATCAGTAGCAATAATTACCCAATTAGTTACTACTAAATAATAAGGTTAACACAAGATGTGGAACATGAAGAAAGACAAAGAAATCTATGATTTCTAAGCAGCGGTGAAACAAGACTTTATGTATGAAAGCCCAGATTTATGGGCTGATCAAACTATTCTTAAGAACTTCTAGTTTTTACCCTTTTTATTTCGGCCAAATTTTTTGAAGATTTTCTTCAATTTCAATGAATGATTCAATGAAACTAAATATAGCAGCACATCTACCCAAAAAAAAAAAAAAAAAAAAGAGGGAAAGAAAGAAAGAAAACAAACTAAATATAGCACCCAAAAAATAAATAAATACAGTTAACAAAAATTTATAGCTGTTAGAGCTCTAGTTTCCACTTTCCCTAATAACCCTTATCAGAAGCCCTTAAAATCCATAATGTAGTTTACCTCTTAGAACGTTTGTGTCTAGAAGCTACTCCAAGTCCAGGAATTTTGGTATTGCCAAATCCCATCTCTGAAAACCATTGCCCAAAGGAAACTGCTATTTCAGAAAATTTTGACATTCAAAAATGTCGAGAAAATGTAGAAAGGAAAACAGAGAAAACAGAGCACATAACACTATTCCACCAAACAGGAGAGAGTAGCGAGATGAAATGTTTGGAAGAAGAACCAGACCCAAAAGTCCAAATGGCCAAATGGCTTCTCAGGAACCTCGCCCAAGACTCAATAACCCCACTTGTCCTATCGCATCACAACACCCAAAACCAGTGATCGATTGATGGGTTTACTGGGAACAGAGTCTGAACTCAACAGGCACAAAATACTAGCAATGAACCCACAAATGCGGCTGGGGAAAAGATGACCCTTTTGACCAGTGTGTCTTCTATGTGAAGGCACTCTCTAATAAATGTGTTAGCTTTTTGGCAATGGAGGCGTTTTGGCATGAAAAGAAGTAAAAACCAGTTCGTGGGCTTTAGACTTTAGTTTTGAGAAAAGTCTCCTAGTAAGACCCTAAAACGTCCACAAGTAGTAGATACCATAACTTTAATACACAGAGAGAGAACGGAGGTCTTAAATGGAAAAATGAGAGGAAGATAAATAGTGGGGTGTGACTGATGGCTGATGACTGATGGACTAATAATATATTAGTATATAGTTTTTTTTTTTTTTTTTGAATAAATAAGTATATAATATCAGACATTTACAATAATACAAATAACAACCCAATCCCCACATTCTCTTCCCTTGTTGGGAAGCAAGTGGGGGTTGGTGACCGCCCCTCCGCCCTTGTCCTATAGTAACAAAGCCACCCATCCAGAGTCTATGGTCATCTCTATTGTTTAACATTACAAAAGATACAAATAAAGTGTATTAATCTATTTTTTCTTTTTTCTGATAAAGAAGAGGACTTAAATCCTGCATTTGTTTTATAATTTTTTACAACACAAAGGCTGCAAATCTGCAACTATCATTTGTATGGATTAAGAGTTTGTCATATTTTTAAGAGAACTCAAAATTTAACATTTTCAGTCTATCTAAACTTTAAAAATTGACATTTTCAAATTATCTTTTCTAAAAATTTTATTTACAATGATTTCTACTGCATCACACTGTGAATGGTTTTAGAGTAGTGAGACTCTAATAAATAATGTTCAACAAGATTTTTATTTGTGTTGAATAAGAATAGAGTCTTTCTCCTTTTAAGTGTTTATTTCAATGATTGTCACATCAATCAATAACAAAAATCTTTTTGAATATTGTTAATCACCAATTTAAAATGTATAAAAGCTTAGACGAATGCTAATTTACTTAAAACAATTGATCATAATGAGTTAGTTGCACTTCTTTATCACCAATATTGACTCCCTTATACAAAAATAAACTTTCAGTTTGTTCAATAATTAACCTTTAGTTAGCACTGGATATAATTATTGTCTTTTATATATCTGTACTATTACTGAGCTGCCAATGAACTTAACCAAATATAACAAGTGATAGAGCACCATTTATTTATTTTTATTTTTATTTTTGAGTCATAAGCTATGTGAAAGGTAAAACAGGGACATTAGGGTGGAACAAAAGCAACAGGGTGACCTAAAAAGGGACGAAAGGTGAGGGATAAAGGAAACATTGGATGCTTGAAAGCAAACCAAGTTCTCTCTTGTGAGTCTTGTCTATAACCCCCCTTTTCTTCTTGCCTTTGGCTTTGAGAGATTTGGAGATACCCACATTGTCCTTCACCATCAAAGAGACTAATCTTTGTCAAAGAATCATCAAATTAAAATATGGGTTTTATTATATATATTGGCCTTGACCTTTTCCAACACCAATACAAAAGTAAAAAGGATGTAGTATGTGGTAATGTCGTCAGGTTCTCTTTTTGTCGTGGTGTAGACCTACTCACAAAAAAAAAAAAAAAAAGCCTACAAATAAGAGAAGAGTATAATTCTTTAATGAAAACCTTTTTCAAAAGACCAAACTCCAAAGTATTATATACATATATATATATATATATATATATGCTGTAAAAACATGTATGTATACAAAGCATTATTGACCACAGGCCTTGTATCAGTATCAGTGGTACCTATATAGTGTCAGTTTTCCAGCCAATTAAAGCCGAGGCTCAAATCCTACAATTGATATCTGAAAAACAAAAGAGCTTTATATGTAATGTTTTCATATACACCAAAAATAGATCATAGGAATACTAGGCACTTTCTTTTGAAAAACAATAAAAACAAAAGGAGGACTAGGCCCTGTAAATTAGGGTAACTTACTAACCTTAGCTTTTAGAAGAAATGCCTTCACTGCCAGTTCAATAATTACCCCCTTTTTTTTTCCTTTTTTCTTTTTCTTTTTTAACTTTCCCTGGGATGAACAGTCTCAATTCAATTAACTTGGTTTTCTTAGTATATATGAACTAAATATATATATATATATAATATTTTTTGGAATCTATCTGGTTTAAGTCCCCTCATCAGTAGGTAAAACCAGTGGTCCAAACAAATAAACAAAATGAAACTTCTATTTTATCTTATTAACAATTTTATATGATCATGTCAGAGATGGGTGATGAATTTTTTTATGTCAAAGTTAAATAAGTATAACCTAGCAAAGGATTATGTAAACAATGACATTTAGGAGTAAGTGAAGCATCATTTTTTTAAGCGAAGACTAACAGACATGCTTTGTGGTTTCATGAAAAATTGAGTTGCATTAATGATATTCTACGACTGTGGATTACAAAAAATAACATAAATACCCTTATTTTGTTTGTTTAAAAATTAAAATACACAGAGCTCCATGCCAGTTAGATTTCCATAGTTCCAAAACACAGGATGAGGTTAGATTAAGATACCCATGTGTCCATGTGATTCCTAATGATAAAAAAAAGATGGTTTTTGAACACTAATGGCTTCATTTTATAAATTCATATATATACACACATATATATATATAGCAGCCTAATTTGTTTATAACCTCTAATCAGACTAATTTGAATCGTATTACAGCTTCGATGGACTAAAGGAGACAGTTGCTGCAATAATTGTTTCCAAGAAATGGTGCACAAAATCCAATTGGTAGAAGAAGACAAATTAGAAACAAATAAGAAAAAGTGAATGAAATCATTTTCACTGCAAGAGCTACTATTTCAAAATGAATTGCTAGTCACCCTCTTCTTGTTGCTGTTTTCAACCAATTGGTCTGTAATTGGTTGATAGATATGTTTATTGTAAGTGGGGAAGACGTAGAATCCCACGTTTAGACAGAAAAGGCGAACTTTCCAAAGGCATCTGGACAAGTGAGTCAATGCCAATGATATATGGATGCCAAAAGGCATCTCTCCTTCCCATGGCTGTCTGTCCCCACTCTCGATCTCTCTCCCACACACATACACACACCATTCAGATGGTCCTTGGTACCGTTAGGAGAGTAGATGCATCTGTTATTTTAGACTCTCAAGCATTATCAAACTTTCATTTGGTTAATTCCCATTACTTAACAACTTAAAACCAATAGATTACTAGATTTTGCAAAGATGTTGGTGTCACATCACTTTGGTCTTTGATTAATCCTCTCCAACATTAATTCAAATGCAACACATATATTCCACGTCCTTTCAATGCCTACAACATTACCCACTAAATCAAGTGCTTAGTTGGAATTGGTAACAAGAATTAAATAAAACCGCAAAGAGAGCTGCCAAACATGGTTTTTGTTTTATATATTTATATATATTATATTCAATTTGAAAAGTGAAAATAAAAAATGGAACCTTTTTATTCAGTTATGGATTCTGGTATAAATTAAATACCAAAGGGGTGTTAGCTAGCTGGTGTTAATGGAGTATAATAAAAAATTCACCTATATATACTTTGGCCTGATTTGTTTTTGGCAATCCTTTTCAAGTTTTGGGAATTAAAAGACTACCAACAAACTACAACTAACCTAGAATCTCTGTCAAGGAAGTTAATTCCTTTTCAACAATCTATGTAGCAGTATGAAACAACCTGAGTACTACCCTGAATCACAGGACACCTTATTAGGTTTACTCCTTAAAGTAGACACAGCCTCTTTCAGTGAGTTACAACACTGGACTTTATACATTTATTTAAACACCATAAATGCATGTCCCCAGCATCTTTATTAGATTAAAATGTGTGGTCCGATGCCAAAAAAGACTGTATCTTGTGAAAGTTTATGATCCTACACATTCTTCAAAAAATTCAACTTGAGATCCCATTCCCATCTCGTCCCATTCCATTAGGGAAAAATTAGGAACACACTTGTGTTGAGTTTGTGGCTTGAATTCATGCGCAGAAAATGAATCTATTTAATTTATTATGGACCTGTTTATTTGGAATGTGTTGGGTTTTTGGATTCAAGCGCATAAAATGAACATATTCAAGTTATTATGGACCTGTTTACTTGGATTGTGTTGGATTTGTCGCTTGAATTCATGCGCAGAAAATGAACATATTCAAGTAATTATGGACCTGTTTACTTGGAGTGGCATGAATTCATGCGCAGAAAGTGAACCTATTCAAATTATTATGGATTTGTGCACTTGGGGTATGTTGGGTTTGTGTCTTGAATTCATTCGCAGAAAAATTAACCTATTCATATTCAAATTATTATGGACATGTTTACTTGCGTGTGTTGCAAAGATGAGTGACCCAAATGGGCCTATTTATCTTTGGCAATGGCAAGAGAGCTCTTGCCATTTTAGTATATGTAAGATATTGTAACTTCTTAATAAGCAAGCTGTGAAATTCTTGTACGAGAAATAAAGAATTCATGGATGTGGATAATTTGCTGAACCACGTAAATCTCGTTTGTATGCTTATATTATTCTATTTGTCAACTGTGTGCGAAATCCTAACAGTATGTAACCAAAAATGGCATCATATGATTTGGATTTAGTGATATCTCCCCACTCTCCTTCTGAAGTCTGAACCAAGATAAAATGAGGTCCCTACTAAATGATTTCAATTGAAATCAAAAAACTGTGAGCAAAAGGTTTGATAGATTATGAATGATTCTGAAGCCAAGTCAGCATAAATCTCCACTAATCTAGTTAGATACATTCACTTGGTTCATAAATAGGGAGCCACTAAATGATACTGTAGATATAAATTACATGGCAAAAAGATATGACTAGTCTCTCATTTGGATAAATAATGGAGTTTTACTGGTGCTAAAGATGAACAAAAGCCACCTTTGTTACTGTATACAAAGGCAAGGGAAGATTCATGGCTCATTAATAAATTATTGAACAAGAGGAATAATATCTTCAATTTTCAACCCTTTTGATATGTAGCATAATGCATTTTTTCTACCGTCGTAGCTATATTTTGCTTTCTCGGATAGAATAAAGGGTTTCAAAAAGGAAAAGGAGACTACAAATGAATTGGGAAAAAGCCCCCCAAAAAGAACTAGGAGTAGTGACATGAAGCTTCCCATAAAAGCAAGTAAACATTATCATAGTTAAAATAGTTGAATTATAAAAATTTATTTAAAGTTTGAGGTTCACTGAGTGCAAATAAATTTTTGAGCTCACCGTATGAGTGAATGTCCGAATTCTTATTCAATTTGTGTGGAGGGGCACATTTTTGTACAATGTTCCGAAGATTAGTCACAGCTAAATTCCAAAAACCCAAATTACCGGGAAAAAAAAAAAAAAAAAAAAAAAAAAAAAAAAAAAAAAAAACAAACTAATATTGCCTATCTAATTCGTTCTAGCATAGACATTTTTATTATGCAATTAAACAGGCAAACGTTGCCATTTCAACATCAATGGAAGCACATAGACATTTAGTATTTAACCGAAATGGAGTAATAAGGTCCATTGACCCATATTTTTATGGATTTAAAGAACGATTAAAATTATAAAATCTTCATTATTTTTAAATTTTGATCATAAAATTTTAATAGGTTGATTATGAAATAACAAGTTTAACTTTATTATTTAATGTTAAATTAAAAACTAAAAATTATTTTATAAAATTACAAAAATACCCTTAAAATTTCAAAAATTATGTTAGAGAGAGAGAGAGAGAAAAAGAGGAGGGGGGGAGGGGGGGTTTTTAAAGAGAGTGAAGAAGACTAAAGGGTATTTATGTAATTTTATGAAATAATTTTTTTATGTTTAATTTAACATTAAATAATAAGAGAGGGGGCGCGGGGGGATTTTTTAAAGAGAGTGAAGAAGACTAAAGGGTATTTATGTAATTTTATGAAATAATTTTTTATGTTTAATTGAACATTAAATAATAAAATTAAATTTGTCATTTTATAGCCCAGATGTTTACATTTTTAGGGAATTGAAAAAATTCAGTTACCAATATACTATTTATCAACCTCCGTTTAACATTGTAGTTTATGAAAAAAGATGTTTTGGCTCTTCTTTGCTCTTCTTTTAGGATATAAAAATATTAAGTTCATATAAATTTCATTTTCTTTTTGCCAATATATAAGAATAGAATTTGACCGGAAAAAAAAAAGAAAAAAAAAGGAAGAAATAAAGGAATGAACGAAAGAAAAACCTGCCCTTGCTTTCAACATTTGGTTACATATTGATCACTCCTGCAGAATTAAATATCTGTACCAACATAAACGCCAATGATTCTTAGTACAAACTACAAAAATATCTAGATTTGATATTTTTAGATATTTTTTAAACCTGTTGTAGACCTAATTTAAGAATTTGCATATAATTTTTCATTATATTGGTGTATATATGTCAAGAATTTTTTTACCATCAATGATTAATGAATATCTATATATATATATATATATATTTCAAAAATATTTTGGAAGAAAGCTAATCACATTTCAAGGAATGCATTGCTGCACCTTACCACTTCAAATGGGGTACAATTTACTTCGTGAATTTGATTCAATCAGATCCAATTCAATTCGTGCGAATTAAATTAATTTTTTAGTCTTATGATTGGATGACGGATTGATAAACAAGGAATTTGTAGTCCACATATCAATTAACAGATTGGATCTTTAACCAATTCGATCCATTCAAATTTATAAAATATATATACATATATTATATACACTATTTCAATTCAAAATTCATTACATAATGGGATGGGTGGAAACCCTATAATTTTCACAAATGGATTTGATCCAGAAAAGCAAAGCATTGAAGAGGACTACTTTAAAGAATAAAAAGGAATAAATATCAGACACATAAACTGTTTTTTTTGCCACACAACTATGTGCATGTGCCCAGGGATGAATTGACTTATCATCTGATATTTTGTTTAAAATATTATACGATATTAAGTTCTTTGAAAAAAAATCCTAAGTGAAAATTTTTAATTTAATTTAATCCAATTTAACCCCTAAAGTAAGGAATAAAATTTAATTTAATTTTCACTAAGAATTGAATTGACAGTCTAATCCGATTCAATTCGAATTCGCACCGAATATAACATATCCTTAAAAAAAAAAAAATGGTGTCAAATTAAAAAAGGTAAGGGTATAAAAGTGGGTTCAATTGGGCATGTGCCCATGGGTCTTTTCAAAGATATACCCAGGATAGTTTCTTGGGCTTGTACACATTATCAACATCAAATTGTCTGGGAACTGTTGCTCAATTTTTTATTTTTGTTTTTATGTCAAATATAATATTTAATCTTTTGATTAATAAAGAAAACAAGAAAAATATTTTTTAAAAATAAAAAGTGATAAGTCAAAATTAATTAGATGACAATAATATGTAAATATATACTATATATATATATGTTTATGTATATATATATATAATCTAAATTTAACACAGGCGATGTTACGAAACTAAAAGCCCTATAGAAGCGCGCTTCGTCCCCCTCACCGAGGCATTGAATAGAAGACCAGCATTAGGTTTTCTTTTTTAACCAAACCCACTTTCTTTGTACCCCACACCGGATGTATGCCTGTACCTCCCTATCTCTCTCATCCTCTTTCTCTCTCTAGACTTTGATTTTGGACCGGGGCACGCCCACTCCATTCCCCTAAAACCGAAAAAAAAAAAAAAAAAAAAATCTGGTCACTGACTACATTCCATCTATTACTAGCGATTTATAGTGTGAGAGTCACAGATTGAGAAAAAAAAGAACCACCAAAACTCTCAATTTCACCCCTCCATACCAACAACAGTTGAAAAAGGTGATCCTCACTGCAAAGGTACATTACATTACCACCATTTTCTTCATATCTTCTAGTCTCATCTGTATTTTTGCCTTACCCATGCCATTGTTATATATATATGTATACATATATGTGTAACATTGTATAGTCATGTTCTATGACCTGGCTTTACCCTCAAAATTTATAATACCCACTAAGGACAAACAAACAAGAAACCAAACAACCCTCATGGATTCAATGTTTTTAATTAATCAACCCTTCTCGATTAATTGATCTTTCGTTAGGGTATTGATGATTGTGATTTGTTACATGAGTCAATGGGTCAGGACTTTTGATCCGGACCCACCTTTTGTTCTTGGGTCACAACACTGAAACACACCCTGAATTAGGTTTGAGGCATGTTTTGTACATTGACGATCTGTTATGGGTCTTGGGTTTTCTTGATTGGTGGTGGGTTTTCATTGCATTACCTTAAATTAACATATGTAGGGTTTTAATGATTTTTATTCAATGGTTCTTGTAATTTCGTCTTGCCCATTAAGGTAGTCTTTGCAATTTCAAGGTTGTGCAGTGGTATCTGAGATTTTGATAATTTAGATGGTTGATGATCGATGCATTTATTTTGTTCTCTCTTAATATTATGTGGCATTGTTATCCAGTGTAAGCAGACTCCAAATGGCTACAGTTTTGCATGTAATGGAGGGTCAATTCTATTGAACAACTATTTTCCAAACCTTTCTTGTTACATATATATATTCTCGGTTTATTTTATTTTATTTTATTTTTGTGCATAGATGTCATGATTTATCTACTTTCTAGGACTATTGAATTGATCGTCCAGGGTTTAATAGAGATGTTGTAGGGCTGGAGGTTGCTCATCAATTATCATTTTACTGTATTTTGGTTGGTTACCTCAGTTTTTATACAATGAACTGGTGCAACTTAAATCAATTAGCATCTATAAATGATGAATTTGGCAGCTATTGCTAAATCCATATTTATATATTTATTTTTCACGGATAATTTTTTTTTTTTTGAATTTTTAAAATTTCCTCTAATTTTTTTTTCTTCTTCTTATTTTTACAGCAATATAACAATATTCTTCTTTCCTTGTTTTCTTTTTGGGGGTGTATATTAAGAAACAAGTACTCATAATTAAAAGAAATTGTTGATGTGGGAGATCCTTTTGACTTCTGAAGTGATGATTGTTTTGGAATTAAATAAATAGTATCTGACTTTACATTTCACATTTAATTTTCCATTGCACACATGCAATAATTAATTACTTTATTTCTTTGTAGTCTGATTGTCCAATGTACCATGTCACAAGGATCAATCACTTAACCAAAAAAGATAACTTCAATCTATTCATTCTGGTAAAGAAATTGGTAATCTGGTAGAGCTAAAGAATAAATAGAAGAAATAAATTTAGCTATCCTGTTAGCCATCTTTTAACTTACTGGAATTTTGTTAGTGGAACTTAGTGGGTGACTCATGCCACGAGTCACAATATAGCGTGATGCATTAGCAACTGCGCATGAGCAAAGTATGTATTAATTTCCGTTTTACCATATAATTATTGTCTTTTTAAACTTACAAGAGTTGGAACATCTCTATCAGTTGATCAAGTTTTCATTGGTTTCAGAAATTTTGGACTTTTGGTTGAACTAAACTGTTGTGCCACTTTTTTTTTTGTCTATTACTGTTGAATTATTGTGCAGTTATCCTGAGCAGGGTAAATTGTTTGATGCATTGACAAAAGCTCGGATAGACGAGTTAGAGTGCAATCGCTTCGTGCAGAATAATTTCAAAGGTCAGTAGTCTTTCCCTCCCAGCACCCTGTGTAAGTGGGGCATATATTGGGTAATGCACTTCTAATCGTCTTAACTTCGAAACTATTAAGCCCTTAAATGTATTTGGGATTAGGGATCACTTGATTCTAAGTTATTAGGATTTCCTTCATTATCTTTAAAATATTGTGAGTTGTGACAACAGTTGGGGATTATTAGAAAGGCGAGGAAGATTTTTTGGATAATTTGAGGGAAAGATAACTCTGTGTGTACCAGTTAGGTTGAGCATGCCCTAGAACCTTTTTTGACTTTGGATGCATAGGTTTGAAGCTGACAAAAAAATTGATATGGAGACTGGCACTTTTGGGGGTGGTTTGTTATTTAATGCTTTTGGTTGACGCTTGAGAGACTTTCCCATTTTGCTTCCACAAAGCTTCTTCAAAACTGGTGGCATTTAAAATTAATTTAAAGTGCAATTCAATGCATATTATTTGGTCTTGGTCTTCAACATTTGCATTGTTACTCATAATATTAGAATTTGGAAGTTTATGAATATACTGTTGTCACTGCCTTCTACTACTTTTCTGTTGAGAAATATTTTACAAGTAAAAAGCATAAAATTGGACAGCTTTGAATTAAGATTGGTCATTGGACATCCTAACTATTTATTCAAATGCTGGCTTCTACATGCTTGTGTCTCTACTTTTAAGCATAAATTTGTAGCACGACTATCAAAATACAGTGAACAAAGCATGTCATTAGTAGTGCAACTAACGTTATGGCAAAGGTATGTGGAAGATCTGTTAGAAGATCGTCTCTGTGATATTTACTGAAAGCCTGAGATATCACGTGCATCGAGTTAGTTTATGCCATTTGATTTTCTTTTTGGAGGAGTTCCTTGGCCATGTTTGGCTTGGTGATCATGTCCTTATTAGTGTTTAGTTTTGTTTGGTGATCACACCTGTATTATGTTTGGGGTTGGATTCCTGCTGAGTGTTCAGATATTCCCAAAGGCCAAATCCAAATGGCACCCTTTTCTGTGGATTTATAAAGCAGGTTGCAGTAGTTTGACAATTTTTAGGTACAAGAACTGTACATTTATTTTATAGTCTGAGCCATAGAAGTACACACCCACAAGCATGTGTACATGCATTCACCAGATGGTTATACATACTATATGATGATTTATTATCTAGTTGGACTTGGTACAAAAAAGTACACGTGGTTCTCTTTCCATTATTTATTGATGCATCATGGCTGATGTTTCTGCTCATGCTTCTAACTCTTAGCTTTGTTTGAACAGTGGATGTGTGGGATGTGGTTGTGATGATATAGACATTATGTAGCATTGCGTATTTCACTGTGAAATTATGGAAGTGCTTCCTTGTTCTAGCGTACATTATGTTGGAGAATCTGATTGCCAACAACAGGGTTCAGGAACAGTTTCTGTATATGATGGAGAATCAAACTGCCTTGAACAGGGAGAACAAGTTCAAGTAGCGGATGTTAAGGTGAATGGCTTAACGCTAAATGTTGAAGGACCTCAAAAAGAAAGACCAGGTGAAGCTCAATGGATGGTTGACGAAATGCCTGCTTCAGAAGGCCATTATAGTGGACCTTCATTTTTTGACTTTGAATTGGAAAGCCAAAAATTATCTTGTGATTCCCATGATTCTGAAGATGATAGCTTAAATGCACAGGACCAGTACACAGAACCTTTCCTGACCTCTGAGAATTCTCTTCTGATCGGTGATACTATTGAAAGTGGGCTGCCAAATAACACCAGGGAGGGAGAGTCTTCTCTTTCAGAACCCTTGTGGCTAGAACAAAATGAACCCATGGCAGTGTGGGTCAAGGTATATGTTAATATTTGTGCCTTTCACTTCCAAATTTTGTCTCTTATAGATCATAAACTATCCTTTACTTTTGTAGCTTGCACTAATGTAAGTTTGTTAGTTTGTATGATGTTTTTACACCTATATGTTCACCTTGTTTGATTTGAGGTTTATTTTATAAAAATCTTATGAGGACTGGAAAGGTAGAACCGTAGAACTGAAAGTCCCACCTTGCATTGGCAGATTTCATATTTTAATGGTCTTAAAGGTGTGTCTAATTGTCAGAAACTGTCAATGAACTCCCTCATCTGTTCAACTGTGCTCTTTTACACCAAATTACATGTTCTTATTTTTCTATTGGTAATCATACTGATATTGCCTGGAAAATTGTCTATTTAGGTTTTTATATCTAGTTTGTTCTGCAATAATAAATGTGTCGATTTTATATTCTTATTTGTATTTCTGTTTTTCTCCAAGTGTAGTGGAGAGGAAAGTGGCAAGCAGGAATCAGATGTGCGAGGGCTGACTGGCCATTACCAACTTTGAAAGCAAAGCCAACTCATGACAGGAAAAAATATGTTGTAATATTTTTTCCTCGCACAAGAAATTATTCTTGGGCAGATGTGCTACTTGTCCGTCCAATCAATGAATTTCCGCAGCCTATTGCATATAGGACACACAAAGTTGGATTGAAATTAGTTAAAGATTTAACTCTTGCCCGCCGGTTTATCATGCAAAAGTTAGCTGTTAGCTTGCTGAATATTATTGATCAATTACGTAACGAGGTTTGTGTTTGGTATACTTCTTATTCATTTATTTTTCTAGTCCTCTCGATTGATTTTCCCTTCGGTCTGTTCATAATTGAGATTTACCTAAACTGATTTAGGCTCTGATAGAAAGTGCTCGCAATGTGTTGGTTTGGAAAGAATTTGCAGTGGAGGCTTCCCGCTGTAAAGGTTATCCTGATCTTGGAAGGCTGCTTTCGAAACTTCAGAATGTAAACTTCCTTCCTATTGGTAGATATAGATGTAGAAATGCAAAGTGGTCTTCTTCTTCTTTTAAAAGAAATTTCTGAATCAATACCTTGATAAGTTATTTTGGTGCTATTTTCATTTGATTTATTGAGATATTGAAATATAACAAGGTATTGAATTTCTTAAACAAGGTCTGATATTTACCATGAATTTTTGAGATAAGTAATTTATGATGGGAATGATGTTGTCATGATATCATTAGGGATATCATTATTCGGTCCAATATAATAAGAAAAGACATGGTAGATGTAGAAATGTAAAGTTGTGTTATTTTCTGGCTCCTCTTCTTCTTCTTCTTCTTCTTTTTTCTTTCCCAGAATCAATATATTAGTAGGTGTTTTTGGTGCCATATTCATTTGATTTATTGAGACATTGAAATATAACAAGATATTTAATTTATTAAGCAAGGTCTGATATTTACAAAAGTAATTTATGAAAGATCTGTTGGTTGAAATGCTGTCAGGGATATCATTAGAGATGCCACTCATTTTGAAAAAAATTGTAAGTTGTAATATATATATTTACAATAGAAGGCTTAATTTCTAATGTAAAGAAGATCGAAAATAAAATTGTTTGTAAATTAAAATGCATTTCATAATCCATTAAGTACATACAAAAATATGTCCAGCTAATTTTGGCATGGGTATACACAAAAAATGGATAAAAAATTAATTGTCATAAATTTAGTCAAGCAAGACATAGATTTATATAAAAACTAACAAAAAAGATCAAATATCTACTATTAAAGTTGTGCCTGATGACCTTTTAGAGAAGGTTCACATGCACATAGCATCAATAAATGAATAAAAACACACAGTAAGGAATTAATTAAATAAAGTTGCAGAAAATTAGTCATTTTCCCAAAATCTAGCTTCACAAGCATATTTATTAGTTGAGAACATGCGTATAAAAGAATGTGATCTTGCCGTGTGGAACAATATAGTTTGATAAAAAAATAATTATAGACTTCAATGTAATAAATATGAAAAGATAATGCATTAGACATATGAAGAAAAATGACCGATTAAACTAACAATGTACTAACACATAAATAAAACAAGAATCCACATATTGACATACATATATATTAGGTTTTGATATTGTCATCATCATCATCTTTGCCTTTATCCCGTACCAATGGGGTCGGGGTCGGCCACATGGATTCTCTTTCTTCAATATTTTGTATCGCAAGCCATTTCTCCACTAGATCTAATTTTCAAAATCATTTCTTATCACTTCATCCCATGTTAGTTTTGTTCGACCTCTTTGTCTTTTACCTTCCATGCAAATCAATTTCCTTCTCTCGGCATTGAATATTATGTCTATACCACCTACGTTTACTGGCTCTTATTTTCTCGCTGATAGGTGCTACACCTAACTTCTCCCTAATCCTTTGATTATTAATCTTATCTTTCCTAGTTATTCCTAACATCCATCTTAACATTCTCATTTCTGCCACATGTATGCGCTATTCGTGTTTCTTTTTAATGCCCAACATTTTTTTCTATTTGAAATAGCCTGTCTAATGACTGTTCTATATGTTTCCTTTTAACTTAATTGGTATTCGTTTATTGCATAAAATCCCACTAGCATTCCTCCACTCTGGGCACACCCTATTCCAGTTCTATTACTTACATCATCATCAATCTCTCCATCTTTTTGTACAATTGATCATAAGGATCGAAAATAATTACTTTAAGTAGTCCATCTTTTTGTACAATTGATCATAAGGATCGAAAATTATCTCTCTAGCACTACTAAATTTACATTCCATGTATTCTGTTTTAGTTCTACTAATTTTTAAACTTTTTGACTTGAATGCATTTCTCCAAGTTTCTAATTTTATTGCTAAGGTTTCCTTAGAGCTATCCAATGCACTATGTCATCCGCAAATAACATGCACCATAGGTCTCCTTGCAAGTTTTTTGCTATTTCATCTAATATTACCATAAATAAATATGGGCTTAGCGCCGAACCTTGGTGTAATCTTACTTTTATTGGAAAATCAATCGACTCCCTTCATATGGTACAAACTCTAGTTGTCACGACCCGCCCCACCCTATGCAGACATTGTCCGCTTTTCATACTCTCCTCTTGGTGCTTATGGTTTTGCTCAAAACGCGTCCACATGGTTAAGGGGTGTCTATACATATAAATGTCCATAACTTCTCCCCCATAGGCAATGTGGGATGTCACAATCACCCCCTCTTGGGACCCAGCATCCTCGCTAGCCTGACCAGCATGGGCTTCTTCACGACCCCTCATTTCCGGCTAGGGATTGGCTTGATACCATTTGTCACAACCCGCCCCAACCCATGTAGATATTATCCGCTTTGCCACACTCAATGTGTCTGCATGGTTCAGGGTTGTTCACACATATAAATTGCCAGTAACTTCTCCCCACATGCAATGTGGGGCGTCACACTAGTCTTAGTACCCTTGTACATATCCTGAATAAGTTCTATAGATCTTTCCGGAATATGTTTTCTTTGTAGGCCCCACCAAATCATGTCTCTAGGAAATCACATGCCTTCTCCAAATCTATAAAAATAATATGTTGATCTTTGTTTATATGATGTATTAGAAATTAGTTGATATACGTTGAGTTTTGATATTGTGTATATGAAGTATAGGAGATATATTTTAATCGGTTTGAGGCCACATCAGTGATTGCAAGATGTCTTTAGTGACTATAAAGCTGAGAATTTTCCTGAGTTACTGCAGTAAACTTCTTTTTGCTTTCCTATAGCTAGCTGTTTATCTGGCTATGTGATTGCTGGATTGACCCCTCTCCTCAAGGTCACAGGTGGATGTACATTAGTAATTATCAAAATCGCTTCAGTTTTGTGATGTTTGTTTGCTTCAGTTTTGTGATATTTGTTGTGTTTTTTTCCAAGATAGTTGATAGTTATCTGCTCAGATGTTTGCATGGCATGTTATCTGTAACACGTGGTTGTGGTATGACTACATCAGTGTCATGGCTATGTTCTTTGTTCGTGTCCTAGATGGTCAAAATTTTGATCTTCAATCATAAATTTAACTCAACGGAGTAATAACTGTAGCATACAATCATGTGTTAATAACCAGACCAGACCCAGTGGTTGGAATGCCCAGATCATCTCATGTTCTTGTTCACAGTTTTCCAAACCTTCCTAACTGCTCCTGCTCAAATGTTGTTCATTTTTAAAAGATCCAAAGACAAGTTGGATAGTCTACCTTTTTGATCTGTAACAGATTTTACTGAACAAGGTTATCTATCTCTCACTCTCTTTCTTGCCGTGTGTCTGTACAATTACCAGTACAGCTCTAGGTCTCTTTCTTATAGTCTTTCTTTTTCCCACCTCTTATTGAAACCCCAATTCTCACTCTAGACTCACTCTCTCCAGATTGTTGATGAAAAAAATGATTTTTGCCTCCTCGATAAGGAAAAGAGCAGAACTTCGAAGACTGCAGGTCTTGGAATGCCTTTGGGTGTTTCACAGAAGTTCTGTAACACATTAGGCTTGCTATTACTTGATTTAGAACTCAAAATTAGTGATGCATGTATATTTTTCGTGATTTTTTTTTTTTTAAAAAAAATATTTTAAAAATAGATTATGAATTGGGGTTTATCATATCTTCTATTGCCCTTTCTATTTTTTCGAAATTTGATGATTATACATAAATATTAAATTCATTGTTTGTACTTTTTGAGTGTTGTTCTGCTTCACTTTTTTTTTATTTTAATGGACCATCTTTTACTTGAATATATTTGAAAATTTTAGATTTTTTGTGGTCTTCTTTCTATAATTCTTTTTAGTAATATTGCTATTGATTATTATTTTTTCTTTTGACATCATTATGTCGGAATGGTTTGATTACCGTTTACCCAATGGTTGAAGTCTGACTCTTAACCTGGCACCTTTCCTGTCCTATGTGAGGTTGATCCGGATTTCAAAATATTGGTTATGAAGTAACTTGGGGCTCTGTTGATTTCTGGCATCAGGGTCTCCAGTGTATAATAAGATGTTGAATTCTACCTTGCATGGGTTTTGTATAATTTTAATTGTGCCCCAGATAGACTGTACCAAATGAAATTATTAATATTATGGTGAAGACTTAATTCTGATTTTGTACTTGCAGAAGATTATTTTTAAGCTGTTTTTGTGTGATTTGACCTAATACCACTTCTTCTGTTCACAGATGATAATGCATTGTTGTATAAGTGCTGAGTGGTTACAACACTCTTTCCACTCTTGGTTACAGCGATGTCAGGATGCACATAGTGCTGAATCTGTTGAATTGTTGAAGGAGGTAATTCCCAATTTTTGCTGCTTATTTATGTGCTTATTCTATTAAATTGAGGCGGCGATGTGGTTTTTCCCTTTTGTCTTCCCTAAAAGGTAAAAGCGCCCCTCTTTGTATTCACTATCCCCATCCCCCTCAAGGAAAAAGCAGCTCACTAGTAGTTATCATGCACCTTTCCAATTTATGGTTATTTCACTCCATGTGTCCATATTTTGGTGGACCCGTATGAATGGTGTGTGCCACACTTGTTGAACGATAAGGTACACTCAAGATTTAACCTTTAAAGTACTGATAGAGGAATGAAAAAGTGTTTTTCTAGTTAAAGCAAAAAAATTATTGCCGGCATAGGCAAACATCTGTTCTCATCTCATATTACCACAAATACCATCACTGAAGCTCCTCTACTATCACCATTATATTTACTATTGTCCGCTGCTTAAGTCATAACAACAACCACCATGACCACAAATAACACTACATTATAATCATCACTGTGTAACTGTAAATTCCATCTTCATATTCAGGGAAAAATATAAACTCCGTCTTCATTACCATCAGTACTGCTATCACTTGTTGCTGCTAAAACTATCTCTTGCCTCAATCACCTGCATCACCCTTGGTGTCACCAGACCAGCACACTATATAGAAGCCACTTCACCATTGTTGCCACTAATACTACAAGTTGAGCGGGTTGTATCTGATGCAACTGTGCCTTACTTTTGGATGATTTTATAAATGATGGTCTTTTTTCTTCTTGGCATGGTTTTTGATATCTTAATTTAATCTAAAGTGTTGGGTTGGGTTGTTTTAATGCCTCAGGCTTCCAAATCCGACTTGAGGCCAACCTAGAGTATAATTGTTTTATTATTTCATTCACGTACAGAATGGTGGTGCCCCTAGCCTTATCGTGGATTAGTCTTGTCAGAGGTCTAGATACCTAGTCAGCCAATAAATAAATAATTAAAACAATTATTCTACTTACATGACATGTCATATGTGTACATGACTATATTTGAGTGTTTTACAGTTGCCATTAGATTCTTTTTAGATAGTAGTACTGTGTTATTATTTGACATGTAATCGGTTTTTTTATAATACTCCCTTTATCCCACTTTAGATGTCCACTTTTGAAATTCTAGCTTTTTAAGAGATTGGCTATTAATATTTTTTATTGCATTGGCAGTGAATGAATTTCCCCCCTGTTGGGGTCCACAGTGATGTCATTTTTTGCACTTTAATTTGTCTTATCATTTCAATGTATTAAGGGTATATTGGGAATGTTATAAAATATAGTACATTGATTTTTGAAATAGGACAACTATTGTGGGACAGCTAAAAATGGAAAGATGGACTACTAATATGGGACGGAGGGAGTATTAACTCTTTCTTTCCCACTTTGGGAGTGTTTCATTTTGGATACGTTTTTATTGGAGATGGTCATTTGATTGTTGCTTGACTGTAAGCCTTGCATTTGAGATTACAGAAAAAGACAAAATAAACAAGATCTGCAGAGAAGATAAATATTTATCTTCAAATGAATCGGCCTTTGAAACCCAACCCAACATAAGCTTGGGTTTAATGCCTTGTATGGAGTTGGGTTGGGTTATAGGTTGGTGGCTCTGCCTTTAAGGTTGGTATTGGGTTGACTTTAATAAGAACCCAACCAACCCAAGTTTTTGACCTAACCGCTAGAGCCTCCATTGTTACACAATGGCAACACCACTCCGTCCATGTGATTTCTTTGAACAATCTGTTTGAAGAACGGCAAACCTCTATCTTTCTGTTAATTGATTTGTTTAGGAGGGATAGATTGGATACCCTCCTTAGGTATTATTTGCACAAAGAGGCTTCCTTTGGAGTTGAACTTGCGTTCTCGTCGTTGTTAGCCCAAATTTTTACCATCGCATCAAGCTGTGGCCTGAAACACCAAACCTCAATTGCCTTCTAAAAGTCACACATTGGTGCTTGTCTTCAATTTATTCATCTGTAATATATATTTTTTTTTGTGGTGGAGACTAGTAGTAATATCACTAGGTCTGTTTTAGGAAATTGGAAAAAGAGATCTTTGCATGGTATTTGCATCATTCCTTGTCGTTTTACCATTTCTACATATGAATTAAGATCGAGGATTCTGATTACACACTGAATATGATTAAACATTTCATTCTGTTTTTAGTTATGGTGGCCCTCAAAATAATAGTCATTCGATCTGTATCTAACATTGAGGGAAGAATGAAATTGTAGCATGCTGAAGCAATCCTCTAATTCAATACATTAATATTTTTGAAAGCATCTGATTCTAGCGTCTTCCTTTTGGGTTGATGGAGCGGGTGAGCGGTTGTGTCGGGTAGCCAATTTTATGCAAATCTGTCTTTACATCATTGTAACTAGTTCACATAAATTATTGTATAGTGACTTATTTAATGGAACAGGTTTTGTTACTTTGCCAAAGTGAAAAATTGAATGAAGGTGCTCTTGTTTCTGTAATTGGAATTGAACCCTGGTGGATCGCATTTTGTACCTTGTCTTTACCACTGGCTCATGTTATTTTTCTCTCTCATTCAGGAATTAGTTGATTCTATCATGTGGAACGAAATCAACTTGCTCTCAGATGTAGCAGTGCAGTCTGAGTTGGGTTCTGAGTGGAAGTCCTGGAAGCATGAAGTTATGAAATGCTTTTCATTGTCGAATCCCATATCTAGTGATGGAGACATGGAGCAGCAGAGTAATGATAGTCCTTTACCCACGGGGCTTCAGGTTAGCACGAAGAGGCCCAAGCTTGAAGTTCGTCGTGCTGAGGCACATGCCTTCCAGGTAGACACCCAGGGTTCACATCAGGCTGGAACTGTTGAGATTGATACTGGATTTTTTGATGGTCGAGACACTGTAAATCCTGGTTCATTAGTGCCCAAGCCTTCTAGAGAGGAAATTATAATGGAGGAAGCAGCACCTACAGACTACTCTGGTAATGCAGCTGGTAGATGGGGTGAGATTGTAGTTGAAGCGGGAAATTCTGATGTCATTCAAACCAAAGATGTCGAATTGACACCTGTTAATGGAGTGGTTGCTTGGAAATCCTTGGATACTGGGAATAAACATCGCCAATGCATTGCTTTCATTGAAGCTAAGGGAAGGCAGTGTGTGAGGTTTGCAAATGATGGTGATGTTTACTGTTGTGTGCATTTGGCCTCACGTTTTGTTGGAAACTCTGCAAAAGCAGAAGCAACTCCACCTGTAAATGCACCAATGTGTGAAGGTACCACTGTTCTTGGTACTAAATGCAAGCATCGGTCTTTATCTGGTTCCTCTTTTTGTAAGAAACACAGACCCCGAAATGATACAAAGATGACTTCTTGCTCACCGGAGAATAAGCTTAAGAGAAAGCAAAATGAGATTGTAAATCGATCAGAGACTGCATATTGCAAAGAGATTGCGTTCGTGGGAGACTGTGAAACTCCCCTCGAAGTAGATCCAATCTCATTCGTGGGTGTAGAATCCCTCAATAATAGCTGCTTAATTGAGATGCCCGAGCATCCCAGAAAAGAGTATAACACCACTGAGATGCACTGCATAGGCTCATGCTTACAGGATGGCAGTGATCCTTGCCTGGAAACTCCAAAGCGGCACTCGTTATATTGTGAAAAACACCTTCCAAGCTGGCTTAAACGTGCACGGAACGGCAAGAGCAGGATAATTTCAAAGGAAGTGTTTATAGATATTTTGAAGGATTGTTACTCACGGGAGCAAAAATTGCAGTTACATCAAGCTTGTGAGCTATTCTACAGGCTCTTTAAAAGCATCCTATCCCTAAGAAATCCTGTTCCCAAAGAAATCCAACTTCAATGGGCCATATCTGAAGCTTCTAAAGATGTTGGTGTTGGGGAATTCTTAATGAAGTTGGTTTCCAATGAAAGGGAGAAACTTGAGAGGCTTTGGGGTTTTAATTCTAATAAAGATACACAGGTCTCCTCTCCTGTCGAAGAACCTGTTCTGATTCCAGTGGTTAGTGATAGTGAACATGACATTGAAAATTCAATCAAGTGCAAAATTTGCTCTGAGAAATTTGTGGATGACCAAGCGCTTGGCACACACTGGATGGACAGTCACAAAAAGGAAGCACAATGGCTGTTCAGAGGTTATGTTTGTGCCATCTGCTTGGATTCTTTTACTAACAAGAAAGTTTTGGAAACACATGTGCAGGAGAGACACCATGTGCAATTTGTTGAACAATGCATGCTTTTCCAGTGCATTCCTTGTGGTGGTCATTTTGGCAATCCCGATCAGTTGTGGTTGCATGTGCTCTCGGTTCATCCTGCTAATTTCAGGCTGTCAAAAGTTACTCAGTCTGTGGGTGAAGTTTCTCCACAGAAGTTTGAGCTGGGCAATTCAGCTTCTGTAGAGAATAACAATTATGAGAGTCAAGGGGGTTCCCGGAGGTTCATTTGCAGGTTTTGTGGGTTGAAGTTTGATTTGCTACCTGATCTAGGCCGACACCATCAAGCTGCTCATATGGGGCCAACTTCTGTCGGTCCTCGCCCCCCAAAGAGGGGTATCCGCTTTTATGCTTATAGATTAAAATCGGGGAGACTTACCCGTCCTAGGTTTAAAAAGGGTCTGGGTGCAGCATCGTATAGGATAAGGAATAGGGGCAATGCAAGTATGAAGAAACGAATCCAGGCATCTAATGCAGTTACTACAGGGGAAACAAAAGTGCTATCTCATGTAACTGAGGCAGCAAGTCTTGGTAGATTGGTGCAATCTCAGTGCTCAGCCATTGCTAAAATGTTGTTTTCTGAGATCCAGAAGACAAAACCGCGGCCCAATAACCATGACATCTTATCTATTGCTCGGTCTGCATGCTGCAAGGTTAGCCTCCAAGCCTCATTGGAGGAGAAATTTGGACTATTGCCAGAACGTTTGTACCTGAAGGCAGCCAGACTTTGCAGCGAGCATAATATACTAGTGGACTGGCACCAAGAGGGGTTTGTTTGTCCTAAAGAATGCAAACCAATCACAGATCCACATCTGATGTCTTCCTTGACGCCTCTCTTAAATGGTCTTGTGGTTTCCAGATCTGTTCTTCCATCTGAGTCTGTGAACAACGAGTGGGAAATGGATGAATGCCATTATATTATTGATTCCCAGCATTTTAGACAGAATATCATGCAGAAAACCATTATCTTATGTGATGACATAAGCTTTGGACAGGAATCGATTCCAATAGCATGTGTAGTGGATGAAAATCTTTTCGGGTCCCTTCACATCCTTGCAGATGACTCTAATGGCCAAACTACTGTGTGCTCTATGCCTTGGGAGAGCTTTAGTTATGTCATGAAGCCATTACTTGATCAATCCCTATGTCTTGAACCAGAGGTACTCTCATGTGGCTTACTCTTTGTTTTGATTCTATCTTAATTTGGATGCTGACCTTTATAATGATGTGGAGTGGAACTTTAATGTCCTTACTATCACTCGACTGCTAAAAAATGAGTTTGACACTTTCCATGTTGTCCTGTCCTTGATATATATATATATATATATATATATATATATATATATATATGTTTGTGTGTGTGTGTGTGTGTGTGTGTATTATATGTACAAGTGACCTCAACTTACCCGAAGAAACCCTCTCTCTCTCTCTCTCTCTCTCTCTCTCTCTCTCTCTCTCTCTCGCGCGTGCACGCACACAGGTGCCATAATATTGGACACCTCTACATTGCTTCTCTGTGCAAGGAGTGTAATACATTCACTGTAGGCATAGCCCAACAGTCCAATGCCATAATTTTTATTATAAGATTTCTGAACAATCACGTGGATGCGTTGCCCAAGTGTGCAGTTGTAACTGTTTTGTATGCTTGCGCTACCAAGTGTCCTTCTCTATGTGGTATGTTGTTTCTGAGCATTTGACATTTATATTGATGTTTGGTTGTTTTCATGGCTTGTTATAATCTAATTCTCAATTCAAGTACACCAATTCCTTTTAGCTTGATTGAAATCTCCTGCTACTCCCGAGTGGGAAGTTGGAGGTGCAAATCCCAGTTGGGATTTGGGTGTCTTACATGAGAGAGATGACATTAATCTGTTCTCTGATAGTTTCCTCATTTCCTTTTTCTCTGATCTGTTCTCTGACAGTTTCCTCATTTTGTTTTTACCTTATTGTTTCTTTGTTCTTTTTTCATTTCTTCTTCTATTTTATTTTTTGTGATCAGTGTTTGCAGTTGGGATGTGCTTGCACACGTTCAACGTGCTTTCCTGAAACCTGCGATCATGTATACCTTTTTGATAATGATTATGGAGATGCTAAGGATATATACGGCAAACCAATGCGTGGCAGGTTCCCGTATGATGAGAAAGGGCGGATCATTCTGGAAGTAATACTATTTTTACTACCATCTATCACAACCAATGTCATTTTATGTTTACTGCTTTTGTTGTAGCTTGAATTCTTAGGTTAATAATATCTATAAGGTTCTTCTAGTTATGCACATCCCGTCAGAGCAGATTCTTATCATGCTTATTATGGTACCTGTACCCGTTTAATGAAATATTTATTGGTTGTCAAGATGCTGTAGCTTGAATACTTATTACCTACTTTTTCCATTGAATAGAACCATATAATAGCAGTCTCAGTGGTTTGCTTGTATTACTTTAACCGAGAACCTTCTTTAAATTGTTTTCTGTTGAAAGCATGTGCTTGAATGATAAACCAACATACTATTGTTTACGCATTCTTTCAAAAGAGCATATAAACATCCCAACTATGTTACATGGATTTGGGTTAGTGTGCCCACGCATTGGATATGTCAAATTTCCAACCAGAAGAACACATGGACAATGCTAAATATTCATTTTTTTCTATATCTTTATTAATGTATGTTTTTTTTAGAGTAAAATTGTGTCTTAATGCAACATAGTGAATTTAGGCATTTCACTCATTTTGAATTAATAATATAATAAAATTGACATTGGATATACTTTTTAGGTACATTAAAATTGACATTGGATATACTTTTTAGGTACATGTCCAATCAAGGTATTAGGACACATTCCATTCCCATGTCCGAGCAGTGTGTCTGACATGGGTTCTTCACTATTTCTAAAGACTCCATGTAACATAGCTTCCCAAGATAGAAGTTCCATTTCTGTTATATTACATTGACCCATAGTGCTGTTAACGCTGATTGTTTATAACTTTTGACTTCTTTTATGGGCGATGATTATACCATAAAATTTATTTATTTTACTAAAATTTGCAGGAAGGTTACCTAGTCTATGAGTGCAATCACATGTGCAGCTGCAATAGATCCTGTCGGAATAGGGTTTTGCAGAATGGGGTACGAGTGAAATTGGAGGTCTTCAAAACTGAGAAAAAGGTAATTTCCTCCTTGTTTTGGTTCTGAAGATTCTTAGATTTAACTTCCCAATACATTAATTCACAGGGTTGGGCAGTCAGGGCAGGTGAAGCGATCCTGCGCGGTACGTTTGTATGCGAGTTAATTGGGGAGGTTATAGATGAGCAGGAAGCAAACAAGAGACGCAATAGGTTTGACATTCTATTGAACATACAGGGTTTCATATTGCATTTATATTATATTTCATTTATCTTATTGACAATTTTGGCATTTAGGCACGACAGAGAAGGTTGCAGATATTTCTATGATGTCGATGCTCACATTAATGATATGAGCAGATTGATTGAAGGGCAGGTCCCATATGTAATTGATGCCACTGATTATGGAAATATTTCCCGGTTTATTAACCACAGGTGAGGGAGGATTTTTTCACTGATTCTGTTTAATAAACTATGTTTCAAAAAAGTTCTGTATTGTAGCTTGGCCACCTAGGTGTCCACCCCAAAAGTCAGAAAGTGTAATACTTGAGACACTGTTAGGTTAACTTTTTATAAGCACTTTTGAGAAGCAAGAAAAACAATATATTTAAAAGCAATTTTCTTTAGAATACTATATCAGACATCAATCACCTTCACTTGCCTGGTCTCGGTAGGAAACTTGGAATACAATGAAACAAAGTGTGTTCCCACTGCTCCACAGCCCCCTCCCCCCTCCAAACTAAAAGCAAATAAATAGAACAGAATGTAAACTGAACAAACTGGGGTGTAGTTAGGTTAGACTATCGTGAGATTTTAAATTGGATGAATAGCAGAATAGGAGTAGGTACTCTTGCCTATGATCTAGAGGTTGTTGGCACTTGGTGCTTTTGTTTAGCAATTTTCCCCCTGCCAAACTAAAAACAAATAAATAACAGAATGTAAACTGAACAAACTGGGGTGTAGTTAGGTTAGACTATCTTGAGATTTTAAATTGGATGAATAGCAGAATAGGAGGAGGTACTCTTGCCTATGATCTAGAGGTTGGTTGGCACTTAGTGCTTTTGTTTATTCATACTTGCTCTATTGGTTATTTATTTATTTACTTTTAAATTTTTAAGAAAACAGCTGGAGGGAAGGGGCAAATTTCTGATCTATTGAAAGTGAAAATGCATATCTTCTTCATACTGAGATTGAATAAAAATTTGAGGAAGTTTTAAAGTGGAACAAAAATTTGTGTTTGTAAGTGCTGTGGGTGTGTGAAGAGTTTTCTGGAGCGGACTCATGGTTTCTTTTTAGGAACTGGTGATTGTAGTGGCAAGCTAAAATAATTTAATTTACGTAAATTTATTGTACTTGAAAAGCAAATACTTTTACTAAATTAAATCAACGTTGCCATTACTTTGCACTACTTTTTAGGTTAAGTATTTTTAAGCACTATTGAGAAGCTAGAAAAGCATTTTTCTTCAGAATGCGATATCAGACCTCAAACCTCCTTGACTGACCTGGCCTCAACCACACACACACATATTAGTGAACAACTGCTTGTTTCAAAGAATCCTTTGTATACCGTACTAGTCTGCTATCAGACGATTCTATCATATGATTTTCTTAATCACTACCACCAAACAAAAATAAATATATAAAACAAATGTAAACTGAAGTTACTGAACAAGCTGGGGTGTGGATCCTTATTTTATAGCGACTTTTTTTTAGTATTGATATTGATAGAATTTTCAAGGAAAATCAAAATTCGAAAGTCATTTTTTATTTTATTTTATTGTTTTCGTTGTAGTTTTGGTCCAAGAGTTGATTACAGTTCATGTTTGCCTCTGTTGCAATGTTTATTAATGTTATTTGTCACCTTGACTACCACTGCACCTCACTCCCCTCACTGCCGTCAACATAGCAAAGTAGTTCTCCGCTGCCACCATGCTGCTGCTCAATCAATGTTTGCCAACACACCCTTCTTTCACCGCTTTCACCACCATTATGTTGCCGCAAGGCCCTCTGTGTGTCTAGGTCACTTCTAGATAGGACTAAATAGTATATATGGTGGTACTATTCAACATTACTAATATAATCATAGTAACTTTTTATTATTTAAATCATATTCTACTTATAAAAAATAAAAAATAAAAACAGAAGAAAAATTATTTCTACTATTTTCATATTGGCAATCTTCAATAGACACTTTGATAACCATTTGACTTGTGAACATGGAAACTTGTTCAAAATTCTACTTTCTGAAGAACCACATATTCAGTTATAGCGTCTTTTTGTTTGAACTTTTATATGCCGACTTGTCCATGTTTTACAATTCAGCTTTAGCGTGCTCTTGTATGGGTATGTGATAATTTTCAGTTTTAATGTGCCCAGATTGTGTCTCCAAATCAAGTTTGTATTGCAAGTCATTGTGTGCTTGCTCATTCACAATCATTTTTGGCCCCTTTTGTGCTTGTGAGGTTGTGGCTCCAGATGAAGTCTATATGCCAAATTCGTTTTTTTTTTTTTTTTTTTTTTTGTCCAATGTATATTTCTGTGATGGTCATAGCCTTGCCAATGTTTCTGAAATATGAACATCTTGAATGTAGGATATGTTATAAATAAGAATTGCTTCACTAGGTTTGAGATGCTTTAAATCACGAGATTGTTGATGTGATTCTTTTTCAAGTTCGCATCTATTTCTTAGACTTTTCTTTCCCAGGCACTCTTTTTTGCCACTGCAAATCTTTTACTTCGTGTGCCTGGGCATAAGCTAATGTAGAAAACAAAACAAAATTTTAAGTACCTTGTGTCAGAACTATGTTCTTATCGAGGTTGAGCATGCACCTCATATTCTCTAAATTAGTAAATTATAGGCTGTTGATTTTGTAATTGTATCAAGGTGTTTTGCCTCATGTATGTGAGAAAGACTTGATAGCTGATTATTAGGCGGAAGTGTGATTTTAAAAGGAAAAATATATTGCAAAGGATTTTTGCTGTCTACTAGGGTTTGTTTAGTTGAGAGGCAATATTTATTCTTGTTTTCCTCAGCTTTAGGCGTAATGAATGCATATTGATTTGCCTTTGTTTATGTATTGATGGTTGTAGCTGCATGCCGAATCTTGTGAATCACCAAGTTCTTGTGGAAGGCATGGATTCTCAGCTCGTGCACATTGGTCTCTATGCAAGTCAAGATGTAAGCACTCTCTACTTTTCTATAAATGATTGGTTGTCATATGCTATAACACCTAGAATGATGAAGGTGCAATTATGTTTTCTAATATAAATTTCAAGATGAATGCTCCAGTTAGGTGTTGGACTTGCAAAAGTTTTACATGACAGACTTATCAAAAAAAAAAAAAAAAAAAAAAGGTTTTACGTGACAGACTGCTGGTAATAGTATTGGTAAGACTATATACTGGATGGCCTTAACTCATGCCGTTTATTAGGCTAACATGTAGTATATATCCTTGCCTGTTCTGATAATCATTTTACTGCCATTTTGATCTGAAAGTAATAGCATTGATGATAGTCTCAACCTATTAGTGTGGTCCTAATATGGACTGCCATTTATTTTTAAAATATTGTGTGCAGATAGCTGTGGGTGAAGAACTGACTTATGACTATAGATACAAACTACTGCCTGGAGAAGGATGCCTATGCCACTGTGGAACTTCCAATTGCAGGGGTCGGCTTTATTAAATCCTTGATAAACTTGTCCCTGTGAGGTTGGTGCATAATTCTTTACAATAGAGGATATGAGATTCTGAGATGAAACATATTTTCTCAAATAATGTCTAAAAGGTGGAAGTATATGTTGGTCTTGTTATTTTTATTTTTCCTAAATTATGCTCATCTTGTTATTCTCAGCAGCTGTTCACATCACATGCGATTCTCTAATAAGTATGATGTTGCACCAACCAGTGGTGTACCAGCAGAGTTTGTGTCCGGCTTTTCTCCACAGCATTTTGTACCTATGCGCTTAGTTCATACACGACTTCAAGGAAAGTAGGATTAAATCTTATGGTCAAAATAGTCTTATTTTGCATTGTCAATAGCTTTGCCCAGTAGCTTGAATGCTAATCATTTTTTGGGATACTGTTTTTAGGAAATGTGGGTTCAATTTTTTGTTTGAAAATGATGGATGAATTGTAAATACGGGTAAATTAGGGTTTCCTTTATCATTGTAATTAATGATGCTTATTACTTCCGATGTTAGGATTTTCAACTTAGGCATGTTTATAAATGTTAACAATCCAAGTCTTGTTCAAAATTTCATGTAGAACAGTAGCCAGAAGATGTTTGGCATAACTTTGTGGGTAGGTTACTTGCTTTGCAGCAATAATAAGCCAATAAATGCAAGGAAGTTTCTTAGAAATGTAAAAGGCATCATGGCCCCACAAAAGTGAAGGCATGGCAAACAACTTGGTGTCTCTGCCAGGGACATTATTCCAGAGTTGCTCCCACCTTAGTGCTAAAACATGGTAAGGTTTTGTCAATTTGTTTGGACGCTAGTCGGCAGAAATTATAGGACAAAATTAACCCTCGAGGGATAGTTTGTTGGTTTGGCCATGTTCCCTTTGGGTTCATCTCAAAGAACTTTTTCGGTAATTGTATAGTGCATATGGTTATTGTATGTGGCCGATAGTAGATTAAGGAGTTCTATGACACGTTCGATGAAAATTAATTCATTCTTTTTGGTTGGGAAAAGAAGAGACATGATGATTTAATAGTAACGGTTATCATATTTCATTAAGATTAATGTTAATCTTATTATAGACAAATGTTTGTGAATTAAAAAGTTTTAATCTCAATCAAATTGACTAGACTAAGCATTGGGTTCACCTATTCTTGACTGTTGAGCCTTGAGAGAGGAATGAGGAGATGAACAACTGGGGTTTGGTAAGATAATCCATGATTGAACCAGCATGCTTTAGGGTCATTGACTTTAACTCGGCACTTATGAGTAGGGTGGTTGACATTATTATTCATGGAACCGGATGCACAAGATTTTATGACCTCCCACATGATGAGGGAAGCTATGGTGGGCCAATATTACAGCAAGGCCATCATCTCTTGTATACCTTTCTTCTTTTAATTTTATTTTATGGAACCACTGATGATGATGAAAACGTGCACCTTTTATTCAATTCAATCATGATTTTGTAAACTCTATAATTGCAATTCTACAGCAACCCACGGTCCAAAACTTTATATTATAAAGAAAAAGCCAAGTCAAAAGAAATTCATTACTACTTTAATGTTTGCCTCTAGCATCTACTACTAGTACTCTGCATGTATATTGATTTGAGCAACTTCATCATCTTCCATGGAGGATTTAGTACAGGAGTGGGTTAACCCTTTTTATTATTCATCATCACTTTGTGTGTGTGTGTGTGTGTGTGAGAGAGAGAGAGAAAGAATATTGTCTTTGTCAATGGATTGCATAGCAACAACCAGTAACATCTGATGCTGAAGGAATAATAACTGGCCTATCTAAAAGACACTCTTCATGGCTCTTCTTTTTTTCGAATTGTGTCATTACCAATCGCTTTCCAGAACATTATTTACCAAACCATTTACCCTTTTCTACACTACATGAGCTATTGAAACAATTCTACTTCTTTTAATAAAAAATAAAAAAAAATAAAAAAAATAAAAAAGAAAGAAAGAAAAAAATAAATACTTTACACAAGATAGTTTTGCTCCAACCGAATTTTCTCTAGTAACGATTTTTTGTTGTTTCTACGCGTGTTTAAAATATTAAAATTCAATCGCGGAGAACAGTGGAGAATTGTTACCGGGAAAAAATTCACTTTGTTCTAAATTTTGAATATTGTACCCGAAAACTTGTGTCCTCTGTGTTAGGACAAAAGGTATCAAACCCACGTATGCCTGCTCCATAATGGTAACAAATCTTCTTTGTTTTTTTCCATTGGTATAATGGTAACAAATCTTATCATGGGTTAAGACAAATTTGTGTTTTATGCATAACCTTTTAACTTATCAGAACCAAAGACAAAACTGTTATATATAATAGGTTCAAGTTAGGCTTGAACAGTGCAACACCAACATAAGAAGTTACCTAAGTTCACTTTAATTTTTTTCCACGAATCCGGTTGCTTGATGCCTCTGGCTCTAGGTTACATGGTTTTCAAACAATTAGTCAAACTTGGTCAAACCTACTTAAACACCAATAGTCATGACCTACCACAACTACTCTTCTATCGCTGTGCCTTTACCTATCCCAAAGCCAAAGGATATGCGTATAATTAAAGACAAAATACTAAATATTGGAGGTTGGAAACAACTATCATTTTCAATTAAGAAATTATTTTAAAGTAGTTGAATGACATCGAAACTTAAATTTAAGGACTATTCAACCCTTAGATGCATTTTGTGGGACTCAATATTGGATCCCATCAAATATATTTACAGGCTGAAAAGCTCTTCCATTTAAGTTATCACACGTTAAGCTTGAATTAGGGTTGCACATCTCTTTTTAATTTGTCTCATCCTTAACGACTGTATTTAAAGCTAGTGCTGTTTTCCCTATTGTGCCCAACTTAACCCTAATTTGAACCCTCATTTACCCCTACTCAGACAGCACTATGAGGGCATTCTAGTCATTTTGGGACATACAACAACATGTTGCTTGAAAATGATTGGTTCCCTTTGTTCTCTTTAGCTTGCAGAGAAATGGAATCAGCCCAGAAATGGTCCCAAATGGGGTGAGAAAACCTTTTTTAAAAAATATCTAAAAAGCAAAGAACAAGAGTCAAGACAGGCCCAAAGCATGCCTGTCTCTTTGATCACTTCGTTGTAGAGAGAGAAAGATGAGAGAGAATGTTTTCAAAGGTAAAGATATGTAATATTCAGACCCACACTCAATAAAAATCAAAAAGCATCCTTAGACATACCTAGTGGTAAAGTAAGCAACACAACCCATAAACCATCTCTCTCTCTCTCGCTTTAGTTTATATCGGTATATTCACATTTCACATCTGTGTGTGTGTGTGTGTGTGTGTGTGTGTGTATAGACACTCATCATTCCACTCTGTAAAATCCCCCGATCGCTGGTTCCCTTGATGCTTGACATTTGGAGCTCCATTCAATCATTTTCAAGGCTCGTAGACCCATAAAGAGATAAAGAGATGGGATTGCATAGAATTCTCGGATTACCCAGTTGTTGGTGAGTCTTTGTTGTTTTTTGGGCTTTAACAAATTCTCAGAGATGGGTATTTAAAGACCACCGTTTAGTTCTTGTTTGTGATCTGTGGAGTTATATAATCGAAGGGTTTTGCCTAGCTCTGAATTTGTAGTTTGAATTATTTTTGAGTACTTTTTGTGCTTTTCTATAAGATATATTCCTTTCTGATAGAATGTAACAGAAATTTTTCTTTGAAGCTGTGCTCTCTTGTCTTTCTGTAAACTAAAGAAACCTTTTTTCAGCCATTTCAGAGTAATTTTGATTTAGGGTTTTCAATTGGGGAGAGATGACGCTAGAGTAAACTAATCCTTTTCTACATTTTGTGTTTCATGTGATCCGGTAGATATTTTCATTTTAGGTTTTGAATTTCAAATTTGAAAATTGTGCTTTTGTGCGTTTATCACTTCTGTGAAAAAACTAAGAGTACAGTGGAGAAGTGGAAGGCTTTTGGTATCACTATTACAACTTGATTTCTTGAACTTAATGCCATTTTCAAGAGTTGTACATGTTACAAGGAGAATCTAATTGCTTCTTGTCGTTCTTTTTTGGGTCCACAAGCTTGTTTTCATTGTAAATGCCATACCTTGACTAAATTGTGCTGTTTATACTTATTGAAATGGCTGAAATTAGACTTACTAGATTAGAGCAGGGTCAAACCAAGATTAGAAATGTTCCAATTGCTGTGACCCCAGAAGGATTTTGGTGCTGTCCCTCTCCTGTTGTGTTCCAAAAGACCCTCAAGACACAAAATCCTCTAAACAAACCCAAACCGTCCCCTCCAACAACCAAGAACTCTAGCCAGAAGAAACAAACTCCACTAACTGAGAAAAAGCCAACCCCTACTCCGTCAAGATCCGGAATTGTTTCCGAGGATCAAAGAAATTTCAGTTCGGATACACCTGTTCTTAGTGCATCAGTGATTACTGAGAGAACACCACGGCCTAAGATTGAAAATTTGCCAAGGAAGGTGTCAATTGAGTTTGGTGAACCTGGAACCAGTGATTTGAAGGTACTTTTACTTGGAAGACATGGGTTTGCTGTGAAGTTGAGCGTTCACAAGAGTGTTCTTGCGGAAAATAGCAGTTTTTTTTCTGACAAATTGTCTGAACAGCACCCTGGTTTGCCCTGTCTTGAAATTGATGATTGTGAGGATGTTGAAATATATGCTGAAACTGTGGGGCTGATGTACTGCAAAGAATTGAAGCAGCGCTTGATTAAGCAAAGTGTTTCTCGTGTACTGCGCATCCTCAAGGTAATTTGGAAAACCATCTTTATCTTTGCCGCAATGGATTGATTGCAATTCTATGTTCATCTTTTATTAATGGTGTGTTATGCTTGAGGAACATTTTTGTTTTAATGGGTTACAGATGTATTATTTATCTAAATATAGTTAGTATGCATACATTTATTTCTCATGTATAAAAGTAGCTCTGATTACCAATTCTGCATAAACGGGTATGTTTTAATATTCCAGTGGAGGGAGGGGATAACCTTTCCATGTTATACTCATAAACAGAAAATCTTCCTCCCAAGGTGAACTCATTATGAAGCTGTTATAATCGATACTCAAGTACTTAATTATGATATCCCAGAACTCTAGATTATATTAGTGATTCAATGTGGTATTTTTGTGCAACTAAATAAATTGTTCATGTGTCTTATAATTATATTGTAGAAGCAATGAAACATATTAATATCCTAGTTACAAACCTCATCCATTGTGGAAAATTCAGTATAAAGTTGGTCCCTCTAAATGCTTCTTTTAATATGCTTATTATAACTGGTACTAAAAAAAAGTTCTTTGAATTTATATGACCTATTGTTTATCAGCTCTTCACATTGTATTTGCCATTTGGATAAAGTTATCCTTATAAATCAAGGTACATTAATATAATTCCCAAATTACCCTCAACTGATATATCACAGAAATACACAGCAAAAAGAAGATAAATCACAGCGAACTCTGTGTTCACGAGCATAACACTAACTCATGTATTGCACAGTTCACAGCAGGACTTTAACTTGTGAGTGCTAATGAACCAAATGAATGATTCCAAACAACCATGTCTTTCGTGGCAATCCCACGTCCTCTTGGGCATCCTCTTCCGCTCCATTCATCATCTCTACTCAAGTATAACCCCACATTTCAGTCGCTTTGTTTTTCTCTTTGATGCAATACAGCTTCCTTACATGCATCTACCCAATATATATATATATATATATATATATGTGGGTAAAGTGCACTAAACCCCCCTGAGCTTTCTTCTCTCTCCCAAAAAACCACCCTGAACTTTAAAGAATACACTTAGCCCCTAAACTATCACCCTTGTTGCAAAAATTCAAATTCCGTTCCTTGGCTGTCTGATAGTTAACGTTGAGAAGAGGCAGTGACCCACGTGCCTTGGTCAAAATTTAGAATACCATATATTATGACAGTTATAGAATATTATATTGACCAATATATATATATATATTCATCGAACCAGAAAACTCCCAAATTAGAAACTAACTTGCAAGCACCAAATTCTAAGCTCCTATTGGGATGCTGAAGGATTTATTTAGAAAAGGAAAATTGAAAATTTGGGTGTGTTGTGGTTTTCTACTTTTGTTTTTTCTATGCAAGGTTGGATTAGCTTTTGAGAGTTTACAAAGAATTTACCTAACCAGAAGAAAAAAAAAAGAATTAGGTGCGTTTGTGATCATATACATATACATATTTATATATATATACAAACACATACCAAATTCTTTTAACTTCCCTTTTCTAAATCAAACCCTTTTTTCTTTCTCTACAAAAACCCAATTGTAATCACACACACATAGAGAATTAATACACAGATATACATACGCAATGAAGGGTTGCCGGTCATGTATTAATTCAGAATCTTCAACACCAGGAAAGATCTGGCCCAAATTTGAAGAAACGGAGAAGCAAGAAGAACAAGGAGAGGAGCAACCCCTCGTCGTCACCTCCGCCGTGGTCCACAAGCCACAAATCAATCTGAATTCCTACCCAAGTTCACTGCAACACTGCTCTAATGCCCGTGCCAAGGATGCCGGGCTTTAATCAAATCTTTTTTAAAAGGATTTCCAAGAGATTGTATTAGCAAACATGGACGGAAATAGCTCCGATGAAGGCAATGAGGTCATGGGCCAAGGCAGTGGTTGCTGATGGCAGGATCCATGTTCGGCAGTGATTGAGGATGAGGAAGGTCCAGTAGGTGAGGTTTTCGACCCAAGCACAAATGCTTAGGGTTTCGTTTACACTTGATTATGATTGGGATGGGAGCTGTTTGTTGCTAGACATTACTAGGACATGTTTGGCTCCGGAAATTGTTGTTGGGTCATTGTTTGGCGCCCTCTTGATAGATAGATAGGTGGCTAGGTGTCGCTTCTTTATTGGCTCGAGAGATTACATTGCCACATCAGCATCTCAACAAGAAAAAACAAGTAAGGGCAAAATGGTAATTTCATTTTTCTATTAAAAGTGGTTGACGGTTCCTCACTGCGTGCAACAAAAGGATAGTCCAAGGGGGTTTTGCTTACTTCAGGGGGGTTTCTTGCAATTGAGTCATACTTCAGGGGGGTTCGTGCACTTTACCCTATATATATTGGGGGTGGTTTCGAAATTCACACTTTGGACAGAGTAGTCTATATTGTCTTTCTCACCGAAATATTTCTAAACCTCAATCTCCCAATGCTTCTCTGAGAAAATTAAATTAAATAAATAAATAAATTTTAAAAATTGTGGAAAGCGAGTGGCTTGACACACTGCTTATGCCAAGCCTGTATACACCCACACACAAAAAGGGTGTAAAAAGACGAAAGAAAATAAATACAGAAGTGCTTACACTACTCTGAGGCTCCTAGTCAATGAATTGTACCGCACAGGTACATCATTGACATTTGAGGATCAACTGGAGTTCAAAAGCGGGTTTCAGTTGGAAGTGGCCATTGTGGAAGGATCTTTCTAGAAATTCCAGTTGAAAAAATCGTATAGTCTTAGCTGCCTTCCTATTGAAAAAGCTGTATACACCTACACATGCGCACAGAGAGAGAGGAGGGGGGAGATAGGCTCAAGACATATCTGACAGACCTGTTAAGCGATCAAAAAGTTTTGGGCAAAGATTTATGTGTGGCATGTGCTGGTCAGAAATGTTCACTTTGGAAATATGTTGCAACTTATCAAGGTTTTTATTTTTACCTCATAATTTCTTACCAATTGTGCCAGAGCTCGCCGGTTTGGTTTTTTCCTTTAGTAATTCATTGATAGGCTCAAGTACATAGCTGACAGACCTGTAATGCCATCAAAAAGTTTCAGGAGAAGATTAATGTGGTATGTGCTGATCACATATGTTTGCTTAGGAAATAAGTTGCAAGTTCTTTAGGTTTCTCGATCTTCCCCTTACAATTTCTAACCAACTATGCTAGGGCTCACTGGTTTGGTATTTCATTTGGTAATTCATTGCCTTTCTTTTCATAGATGTACAAATCATCTTCATTTGTTTCATTTAAGCACATAAAGATGTTTAAAAGCTTTGTGCACTCTGTATGTGTATGTGATATTCACCTCTCATTCTATCTGTTTTTGTAGGTTGCAGAACAATTTGGCTTCAGTTCATGCATACAGTCATGTTTAGAATACTTGGAAGCGGTCCCTTGGGTTGGGGAAGAAGAAGAAGAGAAAGTGGTTTCTTCTGTCCTCCGCCTCCAGGGCGAAGGTATTGGAGTTACCCCAGTACTGAAACGAGTGTCTTCCGACACTTCGAACCACCCCCCTAAAGACACACTTTCTCACATTATGGAATTGGTGCTCAAGAGCAATGAGGAGAGAGGCCGGCGCGAGATGAAATCCGTTGTACTGAAGCTCCTTAGGGAGAATAACTGTCTTCCAAGCTGTTCAAGCTCAGCTGACATCTGCAATGAAACAATTTATGGCTCCTGCAGAAGCTGCTTGAATTCACTGTTGTCTCTTTTCAGGCAAGCAGCTGAACCAGAGTTCACAGACAAACCCTTGAATAGCAAAGAACCTGTGGTAAAGCAGATGGCTCTAGAGGCCGAAAACCTCTTATGGTTGCTTGACATTTTAGCTGACAGGCAAGCAGCAGACGAGTTTGCATTAATGTGGGCTAGCCAGCAAGAGTTGGCGACCCTTCACACAAAGCTACCTATTGTGTCTCGCCACCATGTTAGCTGCATTACAGCAAGGCTGTTTGTTGGAATAGGAAGAGGGGAGCTGCTACCGTCGAAGGACACCCGTCATTTGTTGTTACAAACCTGGTTACAGCCATTGACCAATGATTACAGCTGGTTACAACATGGCTGCAGGTCCTTTGATCGGAAGGTTGTGGAGGAAGGAATTGGAAGAACAATCCTCACGCTGCCTCTTGAGGAACAGCAGAGTATTTTGCTTGGTTGGTTGGGCAATTTTTTGAAGGCCGGTGATAATTGCCCAAATCTACAGAGAGCCTTTGAGGTCTGGTGGCGGAGAACTTTCATTAGACCTTATGTGGAACAAGGAAATCTACTCCACTCTGACTCAATGACATCAAGGTAGTAGAGGCTAAAAGAATTACTAATATCACGATGATATTTGTAAATTGGATTGGACCATCCTCCAGTATTTGAAGTGCACCCTAGAACGCAGATGATAAATGCTGGTTGTAGTAACTGTCTTCTAGCAGGACTTATGCTGGCATATCTGTGACAAAATTCGGTCAATTTCTTCACATGAAATTATTTGTTATGAATGTAATATGGCATATATGAAACTTCTTTTGGTTTGATGATTGTGGTTGATTGCTTGATGTAGTAAAAGTTCTTGAAAGGAATGTAATATGGATTGTTGCTTTATGTGAAAATTAACTTCAGTTGGTCTTTTGTTCTCCAACAACTCAGATTTTTTCTTTTTCTCTAAATTAATGCCTGGTTATTGAAATTAGGTATTTGAATTGTTTGCTACCAAGTACCAACACATGTGGAACATGACGCTCATATGTTGTCTGCTGTTTTGTTTACCCATGAATTTAGTTGCTCTTGTCAGTTTCTCCATTCTTATACCACTTGCTGTATGTCATGGTTGAGACTATGTAAGTTACTACTAGACTTACGGCGCAATTGGAATGGGTGATTTTGAAGGGAAAAGAAAGGAACGGGTAATTTTCATTTTTTGAAATTGAAAACTACGTTTGTCGCACTGTCATGATCCCAAAGGGTTCCATTCTTATACACGCTATGAAACCATTGTCAGATTATCCATGGTCATGCGGTGGCATATGTATGATCAGACGGTTAGAAGCCAAAATGGTGGCCTGGTGCAGATTTGTTTGTCTGCCGCAATTATTCAATTACAAAACTTTCGCGCCATTAAATCATAGCGCATTCCTTTCTGTGAGGTCCCATAGGATTGCAAATACAGAATACAGAATTTTGAGTCCCATACATATAAGAGAGGAATGGGTTCAGAATGCAGATTGGCTCTTGAAAGTCCCAAGAATGCTCAGTAGCATCTTGTCTACAGCTCTGCATTACAGTTGTGCATGGGAGAAAAAGAATATATATATATATAATGATTAAAAGTTAAAATTTTAGGGTATGGGCTGTAAAATCTTTGATTAAAAAGATAAATTTTATCAGTACACTATAGATATGATAGTTGTGAAATGAGCATATTAAAAATTGTATCACGTGGTGAGGTTTTGAAACATGAGTTGTCCCTATGGCCCCTTCGGTTATACAACCCATTTTTAACTCCGTATCCAAAGTGGTTTAAAATTTTAAAATTGTATGTTGCAATTTGGTTGTGCAAGTGGTCCTCAAAGCCATAGATGGAAACATCGTGGCTGTATCAATCAAGTAAAAATACAAAGTGCTAGCAAAGCCGGGAGTTGCCCCTCAATCATTTCATGTATTGCATATTACACTGTGTGTGTGTGTATATATATTACCTTCTACTCTAGCACATAAACTACCCCCACCCATTATAATTTCACAGAAAATGTGAACACGTGCAACTCACGTGATCAAGAGTTGACCCTTAATTTTCAAAATACCTTTTAGGATACACGCTTATACAATGTAAAATATGAACAAAAAAAAAAAAAAAAAAAATACACCATTGATTTTTTATGCAATGCATATGTTTCCACTCAATTTTTAATGGTTTGTTTACCGACCTGTTCAATGTCTTTGACCAGTAAATAAATCTAATTTAACAAGTTTTCAATATAAGAAATACTACGTACTAAATAGTAGTATTCCACTACATAAAAGTGTCTATATAAAAAATAAAATGGTAAATTTTACTTATATATGTATATTTTTAAATTTGTTAATATTTCACATAAATTTTTTCTATGTTTTATAATCTCATTTATCTTCTCTGTTAATGACGATTGTCTAATTTGTTAACCATAGTGCTTCATTTTATCATTCTGTCCTTGAATTGTATGTGGTTAAAAATATCATTTTAGACATTAAAAATACAAAATTGGCCTTTTATCCATTTTTATTATCTCACATATCTCTCTTAAATTTTGTCTCTGTGAAGTGTCCTAATAGTAGGCAGAGTCTGTTACATAAATTACAACTTCGATGAAGATAAGTAAGATTATAAAACATAAAGGGGATTTGATTTATGTGAAATATTGATAAAACTCTGAAAAGATAAGTAAAATTTATCAAAAATAAAGAGAAAGTAGAAACAAAATTAAGGAGTTATATGCACTATATATATATATAAAGGAGTGTTTTTTACTCTTACATAAGGGTAAGGGCATTTACTGGTATTACCAGGGGTTTTTAAGGGTTTTTGCTTCAATTTACCATCTCACTAACTGCATTCATTTTCCATACATCTTAATCGTTGCTTGGATTTTTAACAACTTAAGATTGATGGACCCAAATCCCTAAAACGCATCATCATATGTCCCATCTCTGTCTTCCCTTATTGGGACCCATGCACAGGTTGGTACAAAGTCCTTGTTGCACACCCAATAAGGCCTGGGGTCCACATACGTTGTTGTCAACTAATGCACACTTGGAGGACAGTGTTTTGACAAAGATTTATCACAACCCAATTTTAAAAATAAAATAAAAATAAATTGAATTTCCGTCTCTTTCTTGACATTGATTTTGTATAATTTTATGTGCCCAAGCAAGACAAAGAAACCATTCTGCAGTAAGAAAAGCCTATACATTATTTTAACCAAAAAAAAAAAAAAGGCATATACATGACCTCTATTTATGAATAGGGATTGAATACAATGCTAGACCAGATGTTACCTATGCTCAGAAAAAGCCACCTACCACAAAAAGTAACATTTATATTACACCATTCAACGGGGTATTTTGAACCTCATTTAATGCTACCTTTTACCTCGTTAAAAGTGTGAAAGCCAAATTGACTTTGTCTCTCCCGCTCTTTTTTAAAATAACCTCTTCTCAAAATTCCGTGAATTTATGGAGGCGGTTTTCTAGTTTCATTCTGATCTTTCGTGCAGTATTTTACGAATTATTTATATATATGATCTTGTTACACGTGTGAGTAATTTGATTCATTTTAACCATTACAAAACGGAGGTATTTTCAAGGTGATTGTTGAACGGAAATCAAAACACAAATTTACTTGCTATTGTATGAATCGAATTAGGTCGTGGGTTTGGGGTTGGGATCGAGCTCAAGCCCTAATTGAATCAGTTTTAACCCTTGGCCGAAGTTGTTACAATTAGCTTTGATATATTAATAAATATAGAATTACTTATAATGCTACTTGAATCAAAATAATAATAATTCTTGGAAAAAAAAACCACCAATAAATGCAGTTGCCTCAGTCTTACATCATATAATCCGTGGTTATTTAATTTTCACATTAGTTAATCGGCTTAATTATCTTTTTGCTTTGGTAATAATTTTCCTAGTTATATTACATTTATAAATACCTGTACCTGGATTATGCTTGTCCACAATTGCAACTCCAGGATAAACGTTCTCAGACGGGTAAGTATTCAATTTCGACACAGGACTCTAGGGAGTTTATAATTACTGTAAACAACCCGGACATTTCAAGACTGCACATAAATAATATAAGGCAAGTGTGGTGTGCCCAATGATTTAAGTTGCTCCCCAGCTCTAGAAGCCCATATTGGAACCTTGCATCGTTCTCTCTCCTCTCTTGCCGTTAATTTCTAACATTTTTGCACGGAAAAATAAAAACAAAAAAGTATTCACAAGTATTTATATGGTTACAAAATTATAATTTTTTGTATATGTTGTAATATACAACGGAGTATTTTGTTTTATTCAAATGTGGGCCTTCAATGGGGTGGGCGCAAATGCCAAAGTGGGGCCTTAATTGGGTCATGCTAAGCTCTGCCAGGTCCCAAAACCATCGGCGCATATATATATATATATATATATATACCCATCTCGGGTGTTGAATTAATGGTATCAAACCATGAATGACAGCCAATTAAATCTGAAATTAACGTGGCCAATTAAATCTTTAATATGAAGGCTCATTGCTCATATATATATATATATATACTAGAATAAGGCACGTGCCATGCACGTGATAAATATTTTGTAACTTATAAAATTTTTATCTTCGTATTGATTAATAAAAATTTATTTTATATTAATAAATAAATACTGAAATATTTTGAAATTGGTGATAGAGTTTAAGTTTCGTAAATTAATAAAAAAATTATGTTTTTATATTAATACTGAAATATGTATATTTTATTTTTTATTAAATAATATTTTTTTATTTTAATAGTGAAATATTTGAGTTTTGCAAGGTAACAAATTTTTTTAGGTAATTTGAATTTTATTTGGTAACTTGTAATTTCAATTTTATTAGATAATTTGAAATTTAGTATAATTTTTAATTTACCATAGAAATTCAATTATATTAATTTTTAATTAAATTTTAAAATAGAAATTCAATTATACTAATTATACATTAGATTGAAATTGATATAAAAATTTATTATATGGAGTTTGTGGTTTTTGGAAGACCCTAGGTTATATTTTATTTTCTTTAAATATGTAATTTGTGGTTGAATTTTATAGAAATTATTTTATTTTATTTACATATATCTTTGTAAAATTAGTTTTTCATTTATTAAAAAACTCATAAAAAATAGATAAATACAAGGGTTATATACTTATATGTGATCGAGTTTTCTTTTTGTATTACTTAATAAATATTTTTTATATTAAAAAATGAATACTGAAATGTTCAAATTCTTTAACTTTTATATTTTATTTATATTTATTATTATATTATTATATATTTTCTTTAAATATATCCTTGTCTAATGTAATAGAGTTATAGAAATTGTTTTATTTTTTTTAAAATATATCCTTATTTAATTAGATTTTATTTTATTAGAAAACTCATAATAAATAGATAAATACAGTTTATATGTGATAGAGTTTTAAAGAAAATAAAATACTTAATTTGTAATAAAGTTTTGATAATGTGTGTTAGAGTTTTATAAAAACTATTTAAATATATTCTTATTTAATGTGATAGAGTTTCATTACAAATAAAATAGGTAATTTGTGGTACAATTTTATATAAATTATTTATTTTCTTTAAATATATATATCCTTGTCTAATTAGATTTTTTTTTATTAAAAAACTCATAATAAAATATAATTTGTGGTAGAGTTTTAGAAAAATTATTTTATTTTTTATACCAATTATCAAATATTTTTTATATTAATAATTCCTGTCTAGTTATATTATATTTTATTAAAAAATTCATAATAAATACATAAATAGGTAATTTTTATTAGAATTTTATATAAACTCTTTTAAAAAAATATTTTATTTTCTTTAAATATATCATTGTCTAATTAGATTTCCTTCATAAAAAAACTCACAAT